GTTCGGTCGCCGACATTTTATAATAACACCATGTCCAAAAAATCTGCCATTTTCAAGCTTGATTTGCAGTAACTGAAATGAAATGAAATGGGGTGTAACGTCCTACTGTTCTGATCCTACTGAGCTAATGACGACGGAATTTGCATTAACAGCGGCTGATTGACTTAGTGGAAGAGAACCCGGTAGAGCAAGCATGTGCACACTTCGTGTCAATCATTGAGCAACTTTTTTTCCCGGCTACTACATGGAAATTGTCCCATTACATTTGCATTAGACCGATCCTTTCGCCGGCGGAAACGCGTACAATATTTATTTACTGGGCTGTGAATTCACCAGCTAAACTTCGACCTAGAAGTAATCGATGACGGGTCGCCTGGAACCGGCAATGTTCCCCATGAAATGTGGCAATGCCTTAGGAGGAAGCAGCTGTTTCTCAGTGAGTATGGCACGGGTCTACTACCCAGGAGACCCCAGGTTCGATCCTAGTGTTGACCGAAAAAGTTTCTTAAGGGAGTTTAAACCTTGTTATTCCATGCCAATATTGTAGGATTGGGGTCTGGCAAAAAAAACAGTCTAGTCGTTCGGATGGGTCGAAAACTGTGTATACCTTTGACCACATATTAAAGGTCCCCTAGCAGTTGGGAATCGAAGTAAAATATAACATAATGCTCTAATCTTAGTGTATCCACGTCTTCGTTAGTACCATTAGTGCAGAAAAGTAAGGCGCCAAACACTACTTTATTTCCAGGTAATTCTAGTTTTGTAATGAATTCAGAAATGAAATGAAATGGGGTTTAACGTCCTACTGTTCTGCTCCTATAGTGTGCTAATGAAGACGGGCATACGCCATACAGTGTGCTATGAGGGAAATTTTGCCCGGGCAGCGGCACTATCGCCTACTCTTATATCGAATTCCAACTGCCAAGGGATCTTTTACGTGCATTCTAATGTATACACGGGACCTCGGTTTTTCGTCTCATCCGAAGGACTAGACAGCTGTCCTTGTCAGGCCCTCCGTTCTGCACCACTGACAAGGGGAAACCACGTCGGAAAATCAGGATGAACTTTCTCGGCCAATGCAGGGATCGAACACCCGACCTCCAGGCTAGTGAGCCAGCGTCTTAACCACCTAGCCACCGTGGCTCCCGTAATGAATTCAGATGTTATGCAGTTTCCAATTGGTTGATTTAATGAGTATAGTGATAGATTGAATAGATGCTGAAAAAAGTAATTGGTGATTCAGTATTCTACTAAATATTGTTATTGCGTGGCTGATAAATGGAACATTTGATCAATTGCGATTCAGCATATCAAGTTAAACATCATTTGTTGAATATATATAGCCTGTTTGTATAACGAGCAGTTATTGCCGTGCAATAGACTGATGAGCAGTGTACTTAACGGTATTTTGATACATCAGATTAGAATGGAGCGATTCTAGACGATTTCTTAAAAGATAAGAGATCTCTTTTTTAGCAATGTAATTGATTAAAGGCACAATAGGCAAAAGGTCATTCACATTATATATCCAAATTAAGTCACGCAATTTTAATGTAAAGACTATACATCGTCATGCATGGACTGGCAATAGCACTATTATTACATGTAGAAGGATGATATGGACTGACAAAAGGGATATCACTATTATTACATGTAGAAGGATATGGACTGCAAAAGGGATAGCACTACTATTACGTGTAGAATATGAAGTGGCAATTGGGATAGGTAGAATGTGGACTGAAAAGGGATAGCACTATAATTATTACATGTAGAATATGGACTAGCAAAAGGGACAGTACTGTTAATACATGTAGAATATGGCCTGATAAAAGGAATAGCACCATTATTATTATTACATGTAGAATATGGACTGACAACAAGGATAGCACTTGCACAAAAAGATAGCACTATCATTAGTAATTTATTTATCCAAGACACAAAAGCTGTAAATAGTTACCTATGTGTAATAAATGTGGGCGGTTGAATTAATTTAACAAAGTCTGTGGAAAATTACATGCCAGTTCAAAATATGACCGTGTATTTGGATAAACGCCATTACAAATAATCCTTTATAGGCATTTAGTAACTCGATAGAATAATAAACTATAACACATACTATTACTATTAAGGGGATTATCGAAGCATGTACAGTAGTAAATTATATATAGACAAACAATAAAAATAAATCAGATACTATACAGAACATTAACAATATGAAATACAGGGTCAAAGGATCATAAAACCACTAATAATTATTGGTAATTAATTAATGTATATTAAATGGATTAATAGGGGTTGATTAAGTAAAGAATTTAATAATTAAATAATAGATACAGGCATACAATACCCATCCTGCAACAAACGAATCTCATAAATTATTGCTGATAAGATTTTAAAAAGTTACATAATAATTTTCGGATGAGACTCCGCTCCACCAAAAAATCAACCATGTTGACATATATGACAGCCAATGAATCATTTCGGTACAGGACTTATCAAAATAAAACATTAAAAGTACATTCCTTAAAGTTGCAATTTCATATTTTTAAGTTATATTTTTTAAAATTTATTAAAATAAATCCTTAAAATAGATGGTATCTATAAACAGTCCTACCTTGTTTGAGAAATTGGCAAAAATATCATTTTCAACTTTAAATTCAAACTTTTGAAGATAGCTATTCCATGGGGGGGGGGGGTAGAAAAACAAAGGATTTTTAAGTGGGAGAATAATACCAATGATCGTATAATAGTGAGTTGACAACCTATTGAGCAAAAGACAGAAATAATTATGTTTTGACTTTCTTAGAAAATATGAAATTATCGCTTTAAACCTTAAAATAATCATGTATCAATTATTGGATGGAAAATATGTATGACATTTTGAATAGAATAGAATCGTGTATCTATTATCGGATGGGCAATATAACATTTTAAATAGAATCATGTATCTATTATTGGATGGACAATATAACATTTATTATGGACACTATAACATTTAAAAGAGGACCCCTAATTTAATATGGACACTGTAACGTTTTAAAAGAACGAGACCTTATAAATGTGTATGAAATTGATGTGTTGATATGTTTTATCACTAAGTGGTTTCCTGCATTTAAAATTTTACGTCTTTTGATTCAGCCAATGGCAGGATAATCCTTATATTCGGCTCTTTAAGTAAAACAAGAAACTTGGCCCGCTTACAATGTCGATAAGAAAATTATATATTACTAATCTCATAAGACTAGGTTGGGTATATGTCATTATTTGATTCGGTACCATGCTTTATACCATACGAGAATTGATTTACCACATTGCTGCAAATTATTTTTAACCGGCCATATTGAAATGTGGTCGTATATTATCGCGATCCCCATCCGGCCGTTCCCTTGCGTTCAGTTTCAGTCTGTTCATTTTCCTTTATTTTATTTTACTATTTAAACATACATTATGGAAAAGCTAAATCTGCCTATTGCAGGACTTTCTTTAGGCCTGAAATGTTATCTAGAATTAGACATTAATTAACATATCCACACACCAACTCTCTATGCCATCGCTTGCCTGCGATTTTTAGCGGAATGGAACGGAATACATTTTTTGAAAAATAATTAAACGTAAAAGTGGAGAATCGAGACTTTATCGTACCGACCTTAATAATGATGATCGAAGCTATCCTAAAATTTAGGGTGGAGCAATTTGACTGAAATTTTCGGCATATTCTATTTACATAGTCTATTTTTAACTACTATAGCACAAACTGCCAACTCTTTATCTAACCGCCTATAACGCCCCTTTAATCTGATAAAGTGTACAAAATCCGAATCATGAAGACCAAAGGAAATAAAGATAAATTATGAATGAGTCTATTACAAATATGTACTGCAATTTATAAGAGTGGGTGTATTTTATAAACTTTTTACAGCTGTAGCATGTGTATGTAATTGATTTTACATAATAACAATTTCTGAATCATTTGAATGATCACGGGCATATGTGGGGTAATTCTTGGTCACGTGATATTTATATATATATATTTACATACATATACTTGTCAATGGTTTACAGCTGTAATTAATCACTAGTCAATTAATTAATTAGCTCAAGTGGCTGCATTTAATTATCAGTAACATATCTAGAGATTGGTGTGTACTGAAGTGTATTATACATTAAGGAATTTTTATTGAAGGTTGTAAGTATTCTGAAACGTTTTTGTATTTAAAATGAGACCAAATAATGTTTTGTGAATCAGCGGATTTTTAGGGTATGTTAAGTTTTTGTTGATGACAACAAAAGTGTATTTAGACATTCGGGTGGAACGAAAAACTGTACAATTTGCTAGTATACTGGAAAATCCCTTGTCCTTGGCAGTTTCATTTCGATGAGGAATAGGCGGAAATGTCACCGTCTAACAAAATATCCACCCTGGCATTGCACACTTTAGCACAGAAATCTCAAAATCACCAAAGTGTTCTGTTGAGTTTAAACCCCATTTCGTTCAATTATATCAACTAATGAAAGAATAAAAACCAACATTGTAACATATTCTAGTTAATATGTGTTTATTCGGAAAAGGAATGGGAATGAGCCAAAAAACAGTTAGTTTTTTCATTATGTTAAAAGATAATTTGAATTATATTTAAATCACACACAGATATTTATATGATTTATATGTATTTATTATGTATATCTGTAGCAATAATTGGGTCCCAAACGCTACTCATCTTCATGGTTGGGGGGGGGGGAGGGGCGTTCATAAAAAAAAAAACCCAAAAAACAACTATGGCCCTGCCAATTCAAGTAGATCAACACGATGCTTGTTTCTTGTTATTGGACAATTTCGCATCGGTTGACAGACTTCAATTTTTTATATGACATCACAATTCTAAAATGGCTGCGATGACGTCATGCTCGGTATATGGTTCATTTCATATAGTTCCATCGTACTTGTTTTGTAAAACTTTCACTATATTTTGATTTTTAATGTACGGCCATTTTTTTTTCAGGTGTAGTCTGCCACCAGCAAACAGTTTCAGTGGATTATTCTTGTCGAGCCTTCAATTGCTGTAGAGTAATTACGTACTGTATTGTGCAATTTTAAGGAAATATTTTGAGAATTGTGAAAATAAACTGAGGATATCCGTTAGTAAAAATTCTCATTCAGAAGTGACCAATTACGTGTGGGCTAAAATAACGACTGTGCAGTTCACGTTCTGTTTTGAGCAACACAGGAAATTAAAACACCAAACGTGTAATATCAAGGAAATTGGAATTTTTCTGTAGTTGTGGATTTATCTTTTGATCCGGGGCTGAATTTAGAATTGTTGGATTAATATTTCACTCTGCTTGAATATTTTTGAATCGCCATGATGGCCAGTTGTTGCGCTATTTTAGGGATTGTATTTTTGGTCTTAACGAATTTAGCGATTATTATATCGTTTGCGACGCCATATTGGTTGGATGAGATGCATTTGATAGCCGGAAGGGTTAATCAAGGATTATGGGCTGTCTGTAGTGAAAGCAATTGCAGGTGGGCGTTTCAGAATGATTTAGCCATACAGAAAAATTACCCAGGTGAGGCAATTATATTTTTAAAAACCCGCATTGATAAATATAGTAATACGTTGTCGTCCTCCCTGGCTGTCCGCTAGTTCGTCCGTCAGTCCACAGTTCCCCTTGAACGTTCAGTAGCTTAAAGAGCACATAAAATGACCAAACAAAATTATACAGTATGTACTTATAGCTAGTGTTTACTATACACTCTATAACAATTCCACATGGTGATTTTATGTGCTCCTTAAAGTTATTATAGTGTCTTTTTTTTAAAAAAATAGTAACGGTTGTTCACATTAGAGAGAGGAAGGTGTGTAATACTATAAGGGTTATTTTAGTTGTAAGAAAGGTGTTCTGTTTAATATAAAAAATCGTTACCTACATGATGTGTGACGAAAACTAGGGTAATGAAGTAGCTTGCATCATTCTACTACTATCTGAGACTAACTCACCTACAGTTATGTCAGTAGCCATTGCTGGAAGTAGGGTACTATAGTCCATTCATCTCGTCCACGGATTAATACAATTAACTAGAATAGTGTTGACGTAAAACGGTGCCTATACGAAACACTTACCCAACATCGGTAATTGTCCCACCCTAATAGATGACGCATTATACTTTCTATATAGAAGAGAGCTAGTTTGATTTACCTACAGACATTATTCGGAGCTCAAGGGGAACATACCCATAGCCTTCTCGGCTAGGATGAACATCATCCAAGCGCAAACCTTATGTAGAACTATCAAGAAGTAGCTCTTGCCACGTTAAGCCGTTAGGTCTGAGTTAGAAAGGATATTAAACTCAGACCGTGAATATTTTAATAACTTGAAAAGTACTATCATAGATATTGTAGTTTCCTGTATTTAACCTTTGTAGTTTGCTGCATTTGATATATAAACATAGTAACAACATAAACAGTGTTTCAGATTTAATTTATCATTGGAAATAGTTATCGCAACCTGAAGTCGAAGAAAGGCATAGACGGTAATGTCACATCTACCCCGTAGTGTCACAGTCCGTTTTATTTGATTTGGAGTCCGTGACCGGGATAGTCACATCTCCCCCCTAGTACCACAGTCGTTTTTATTTGGTACCGCGACACAGGATAGTGTTACAGGTGCCTAACGAATTTCATCCGATTAAAGTTATTACATCTTGCTCTATCTGATCGAACTGCTTAAACTTAGTGAGCTGGGGGTCGTTAGGAATAAAAATAGTTAGACTAGGCGGTGGTGTAGCCACCGGAGAAACCTACCCCCACCCTCTCCAAAGAGATTTTGGTCGGATAATTGGCATGGCTGTTGACAAAATTTTAACTTTCAACATGGTGGACTAAACGAAATAAGCAGTTACCATATAAGATTAATTAGATTATCATATCAAAAATTTATGCACGAAATAAGATTCAAAAGATTTCGCACGGGCCACAATCCCCGGTCCTAATCACGAGGTACGCCATTGATTATATGCTCGTCCACGGGGTTAAATAAACAAAACCTATAGAATGAACAGATGTCAATTAGCAACATAAATAGGTCAACCCGGGTCACGATAAACGACAATCAATAATACCAATATCAATAACCCGGATGTAATTAATTCTCGTTCCACACCTTGTTATACTAGGTCGTCTTGACACGAACAAGCATTAAAAACTGATTGATCAACTCAAATAATGCCCACAATGTTCAATCTGAATTCGTTGTACCTGTAAATATAGAGATATTATGTTCATTCTAAATCGGGTTCACTTTCGTTATAGAGACAGTCCGTTCAATACGAATTTGTTTGGTTTCGTTATAACACGTATAGAGACATTCGCTGGCAAATATCTGTTGTATTTTTGTATTAGATATGTAAAACTAATGTAGGTATCATTATTACTTTTTTTTATTTAATTGTTTACTGCCGTCGCCACTGTTCGGCAATCCGTTATGCAGAATAATTTTCAAATAGCCATGTCAGTTCTGAAATCGGAATGTCTCATAAAACACTTGTTCATTTGGAACCCGAATATTGATTTCTGGAGGAAATTTTTAATTTAGCGCGCGAGATTTCGCCATTCATACATGAAAGTAGTGCCAACATTTATGACTCATGAGGTCCAATTTCTGTTCGCCTCTCTCGCCATTTTAGTTTGGCACCGATAACGTCTAATGGAGTTGAATCTATAATTGGAGGTCGTGGAGGTCATATGAAGAAAATCACGTCTGCTGAAGTGAAATATTGTGATATTAGGCTACATGATATAAGTGAATGTTATTAAATATTTATGAATATATGACTATCGTCGCGTTTTTATTGTTGTCTATGGCAACAAAATGGCCTAAAGAGCCCTTTATTATTCAGGAATATTGAATAATGTATCTGGAACAAATGTAATTTTTTTTAACGTCTGTCTAGCTGTTTATCAATTACATATTGTCAGGGGTAGATAATAATTCCCAGGCGTTTCTAATACATATTATAGTGCTCCAATGGTTCAGATATTTCTTCAGAGATTGGGAAACAGCTGTAATTTTGAATAACATTTATCTCGACAATCGGTGCCTGAATACTGCATTTCAGGCTGTCTATTTTGAAAATATTTCTGGGAGAGGTTCCCCATACACTCCGTAAGGGCTCGCTACTTTGGCGCACATGAGGGAGCTTCGTCGAGGTTAGCAAATCCGTTCGTTTGACACTTTTCAATCTGGTCGGATAAACGAGTGGTCAGGCGACAGGCAGTATCTGGTCAGGTCAATTTATCTCGACGATCAGTTCCTGAAATATTACCAGACTGCATTTCCGGCAGTCAATTTTTCAAATGTTTCTGGGCAAGCCTCCCCCCCCCCCCCAAACGCCTAGTTGAAGCTCGCGCCTTTGCCCCCGGAACCTTGGACTTTACTCCAGCTTTGCCCCCCTACAACAGGCGGCTGAGGTGGGGGCGCTCAGAATAAGGCCATGGTTATTTTATTAGGTAGCCCGGTAGCCCTCTGATCATCTGATCACGACCACCTTTATGTAATCCTTAGGTTACCGGCAACCTCTATAGGTACAATGCGTAGGTAATCTTTGAGTTTCCAGAGTCCTTTGTAGGTTTCCAGATTTTTTCGTGAATAACCAGGTTCGTCTGTAGGCCTAAGCTGGGCTTAGAGGATCCTTTGTAAGCAAGCGCTGGGTTTTGAAAGTCCTTTGTGTGAAACCGCTGGGTTACCCAGATCATTAGTTTCACTTGTACTTTTAGACAATCGCTAGGTATCTGTAGGCAAACGCTGTGTTTCCGGGGTCTGGACTAATTCTGTACAAACACATGGTATCCTCCATCGTTTCAAGATAACCTGTATGTTTCCGGATTCCTCTCTAGGTAACCTCTGAGCTCAAGCACCGTCCCAATGTAACTTTTAGGTTTACGCACATGCATAAATGAGGGTTATAATCAACATTTTGGTTAGTATGTTGTGTTGTATTGGTGTACTGTATATTTATACACCCCATCTATTTATAGCTGTTTAGTAATTTTATACCTGCCTTGTCAGCAAAACATCTACACGGGAGGAAACTTTCTACATCAGTACATGAAAACATCACAGACAATTCCAGCTGTCAAGGAGATGGGGTGACGTAGTAGTCGAGGCACCAGGGCACGGGAATCTACTGGCCGGTTCCGAGCATGGAAAGAACCTTTGGTTTTAAGCCCGACTCTCAGTTATCAGGGACGGCGCTTGCGGGGTTGACAAGTTTTGCACCTTTAGAATGGGACGTAAAACCGAGGTCCATATGTGTACATCATGTAAAATAAAAAATCATTATAGCGGGAAATTGATGAAGAGTTGATGGAAACGTCACTGAGATCAGAGCAACTTTTGCCCATCTTTCATTTACTTATTTTTTTAAAACAAAACCATATTCATATTTGTCTCAAAATGACCGAAGTATTGTGCTGACGAGACATTAAACCCAATTCCAAATTGTCAAAGTGAGTTGCTTAGCCTGAAATAACTGCAGAAAAAAATGTATAATTCAAAAATGAATGTCAAGAAGCTGTTAAGGTCAATTGACGAGAGACTCACGTGTATTTCACGTGCAGTCAGGTTATAAAGAAACAATTTTAATTGGCGACCAGGTTCTGAAATCACCCTAAAACGTTTGGAACAGAATTTTTTCATAACTTGCGTTGTAATTTCACTCAATACAAATTAATCAATTATTAATCCACATCCTGAAAGCAAACTGTATTCAACCCTTTCTTGTTCATTATAAAGAGAAAATTGAGTCATCAACACATTTCTATGTTATGAAATATTGATTGGGTTTTATTCATTTAAAAAAAATCCTGGTCCATAAATTAAATAGTTATTGTCACAGACTCTATATATAACAAATAATAATGGGTATGCATATATCTCCTTCTTACCCTAAAATTAAGTTTCAGAATATTACGGTATCAATCGAATGAGAACGTGGTTCAGTGAAGCCGCTGGCTCCCTAAACAGGCGGTTCCGGGTTCGATCTCGGTGATTTTCCAGTCAGGGAATTCCTTTCCCTGTTTGACGATTGAACTTTGGATCATCACGTATTAGCCAATACGGAATTCTCCTTGGAATCAAGAATCTGTAACAATGATGGTCACCTTGCACAGATTATTCATTCCTAATGCCACCGTTTCCAAAAGGTGAATGAATTGATGAAAAGCCAATGGAACGATGATACTATGGACATGGTTGGACCCAAGGGTTTATTTCATCTGCGGATCATGGGCCTAGAAGAACCCTGGTTCTGACAGGGGGCTCCTAAGGGGCCGACAAGTAAAGCGTGTCTAGTACGAAATGGTACGAAAAACAAAGGTCCATACGTGTAAACATTGGGTTACACGCAAAAGAAACCTGTGACAGAATTCAAGGAAGAGTAGGTGAAAACGTCACTGTCCGGGCAAATCACCTTACCTCCAAAATCGTACAAGTGACGATAGAAAAATAGCAACATTAAAACTTTTTTATACGCCCACATTGAAATATGGTCGTATATTGTCGCCCCCATCCGTCCGTCGGTCCGGTGTCCACAATTACCCGTGGACGCTCTAGAGGCTAATTACTGCCAGAGTTGTGGCCCTTGGTGACATTGAAATATATTGTGGTCACTCTAGAGGCTAAAGTTAATATCTGATTGACTTTAAATTTACACACATTGTTTAGGGCCATGGGACGAAAAAGCCTATTGATTTTCAACAATTTCCAATAAAGACTGCCAGAGTTATGGCCCTTGATCACTTTGAAAAATCTTGCGGATATTTCATGTTTTGTATACTAAACATAAGTATGGAGCAGAACTAGAAGCCAAACAAATTCTGATGATTTTCTGATAATTACTTAATGAGTTGTTACTCTTAATCAGATTTTAGTGTATTATAAATGTTTCATTACCGATTTAGCTACTGTTGGCCTGGCAACCTATCTTTTTGAAAATTATTGCGAATAGGATATGCAAGTTTAACAAGTTAACTGCATATAATCATATATTTAAAACTGAAAAGCAAGATTGTACAAACTCAACCGCATTATATAATATAATTTTTCTACAAAACTTCTGACAGATAGCGTTCTATAAATTGTTGGCTGGACAGACGACACAGTCAGTGTTACGAATTACGACCGCATCTTTCACCTTTCGATTACACCCGCCCCTGGTTAAAAAGAGAAAGAAGTGACACCAGTTCATCCCGGTTGTATATAAATGATAGATGAGGTTGCATATTATAAATACCGGATATGGCCTTGATGTTCTTTTTATTGCAACGATGAAACTTGATTCAGCTATTGTTGCTTAAAATAATACTAGATTGATTTTGTGTATACAACTATGAATAATATCACAATGGGAAAACACGAGGGCACCCAGGACAAAGACTTGTCTGATTCATGTAGCTGCTTGAAATCTAATGGTAAATTGAAAGGCGTTTCACCTCCACTTAAGATAAACTAGGGCATACATCGACTACAATATAGTATGTTTATTTAATAAATCGCTTATGCGAAGAGGGATAAACCGTAGATCCTTGAGAAAACCATTTCTAAAAGCTACTGATTGAAGTGTGTTGGATTTCCAAAAAGAATGACTAAAGTCTGGAGCGGGGCGCAAGCCACCGAAAACATTTAATTTAGAATTTAATACAATGAAAACAACATTATTATGAGAGTCAGGGCCCGTGAAAGGGTGGGGGTGACGGCTGGGCTGGGAACTTGGGTGTGTCTGTTAAAACAATTTCTTTGGTGGCCAAATTTGAGGCAGGGAGGGGGCAAATGACACAACTCCTATCGCAGTATTATATGTTTAGAAATAGTGTTAGCGCATATACTATTATATGTTTAGAAATGATGTTAGCGCATTAAAAAAAAACATTGCGAAAGTCAGTTTATGTAGTTAATTGGAAGTATAGCTCGTGGCGCGTGGTGTATAATTTTGATTGATAACCCGAATCCTGATATCCCATGTTTGCCCTCTGATAAACTGACAGCTCACAACTGGTAGTAACTATAAATAATTCTCTACCATAACCTGATACCCGTTATTAGTGTTACTTAAGCCAGGTTAACCAGACGGATATTGTTGGTTAACCAGGCGGACATTGTCCATTTGATGTCTTTGGAACTATAAAAATCGAAACGAAATAGGATCTGTGTTTTTATACGCCCACATTGGATATGTGGTCGTATATTGCCGTCTGTACGTCTGTACGTCCGTCCGTCCGTCGTCCACAATTTCTTGTGAACACTCTACAGACTACATTTATTATCTGATTGTTTTGATATATGTTGTTGATATTATTGAGATGAAGAAGCCTATTGATTTTCAGCGATTTCCGATAATTACTGCCAGAGTTATGACCCTTGATCACTTTGAAAAATCTTGTGGACGCTCTAGATTCTAAAATTAATATCTGATTGACTTCAAATTTATACACGGTGTTTAAGGTCTTGAGACGAAAAAGCCCAGTGATTTTCAATGATTTCCGATAATTACTAATAGAGTTATGGTCCTTGATCACTTTGAAAAATCTTGTGGATGCTCTAGAGTCTAAAGTTAATGTCCAATTGACTTTAAATTTATACACACTGTTTAAGATCATGAGGCGAGGAATCCTATTGATTTTCAACGATATCTGATAATTACTGCTAGAGTTATGGCCGAGACGAAAAAGCCCAGTGATTTTCAATGATTTCCGATAATTACTACCAGAGTTATGGTCCTTGATCACTTTGAAAAATCTTGTGTATGCTCTAGAGTCTAAAGTTAATATCCGATTGACTTTAAATTTATACACAGTGTTTAAGGTCATGAGACAAAGAATCCTATTGATTTTCAACGATATCTAATAATTACTGCTAGAGTTATGGCCCTTGATCACTTTGAAATATCTTGTGGACGCTCTAGAGGCTAAAGTTAATATCCGATTGACTTTAAATTTATAGACAGTGTTTAAGGTCTTGAGACGAAGAAGTGCATCGGTTTTCAATGATTTCCGATAATTACTAACAGAGTTATGGTCCTTGATCACTTTGAAAAAACTTGTGGATGCTCTAGAGACCAAAGTTATCATTCGATTGACTTAAGATTGATAAACAGAGTTTAAGGTCTTGAGACGAACAAGTATATTGATTTTCAACGAATTTTGATAACTTGAACAGCTAAATCCATGATATTAAATGCTTCATATATTTAACGTTAGCATGGGGCAGAACTAAAAGCCAAACAAATTCTAATGATTTTCTGATAATAACTTAATAATTTGTTACTCTTAATCAGATTTTAGTGTATTATAAATGTTTCATTACCGACAATAGAAAAAAATATGTGACAACTCTTGTTGATCTGCGGACGACTTAGCTGCTGTGGGCGTATGTTTCGTTGCCTGGCAACCTATCTTTAATCAAATTGACTCTCTCTGTGCTAAAGCTTCGGGCATACTTAATAGTGGGGTTTACTGACAACTAGTGTTAGAGTTCACACGGTCGACTTTGCTGCTGGTTTAAGCGTTATATAGGAGTTTGATAAGCCCTAGTTTATGTTTAATTATTGATATGAGTTATCGTTGTCAGTGTTGCAGTTAGCTAAAAAAAAAAAAAAACAGAAAACGGCACTACGGCATTAATGTGTAATATTTGATTATATATATATGTTTTCAGTATGGTGGGTGGCTGTTCAAGCTTTGATGGCGTTCGGTTTGTTCCTAGGCCTGATGTCGTTATTAGTGGCGACACTAGCGCTGTGCTGTGAATGTAAGGGATGTAACTCTAGTCATGCTGTGGCCGGTATTCTAATGATTGGATGTAAGTTGAATAATTCTTTCCGCATTGAATTCTACGTTAAATCCGGTACATTTGTTGGTTTAGGAGCAACGCTCTTCAAAAAAAGAAATCCCAAGACTCCCCCAATTAAAGCACGCTCGACAATAAACTAGGTTTCCTTGTTCCTTGGATAACTGCACTCTGACAGAAAATTTCAAGATCGCGGCGATGACATCGTACTCAGAATCCTGGTCCATTATTAGTAGTTCAACGTCATCTGGTAAAGATATTGCAGAAAGTTGCCTTGACTGTTTCAATTTTGTCTACGTCTGAATTAAACATACATTATGCAAGAGCTAAATCTGCCTATTGCAAGTCTTTATTTAGGCTTCAGATGTTATAGAAATTATTAATTAGACCTTTATTTACACGACAAGCTTAAAATCAACTCTGTAGACCCACGGATGGCTTGGATACAGTTTGGATTTAAACAGCCTCGTCCATTTAACATTAAATCAATAAATGGCGGACCAAGCTAACGTTTACCGTTACTCGCTGATGTCACAACCGGGCACTGGTGATGAATTATGATACCAAGAATGGCCAACTCTTTATAAAACTCTTAACTAATGTATCTTTAAGTAATCTATAGGCTGTGACATTATTTTTATTTACTTCCTTATCCCTCCGCTTTAAGATCATGAACATTCACCGTCGATTCTAGACCAAAAAGCCCCACCCCACCCCAAAATAGACAATTGGCATGCAAAATTGGGGAACCAGATAAGAGAAGTAACTACTGATCCTCAGTGTAAATGACTGATTTGAATATGCCCGTGGCCGTCAAGACTTTAGAATATTTAGATCAATGAAATTTCAGGGATGGGGTTTGTGATAGATGGCTAGGTGGGCTTTGATAATATATATGCTCTGTGTAACTAGTGTCCGCTTTTCATTTCAGTTATAATCATGGGAATAGCAGTGGTGCTCTTTGGTATCAAGGCTCACCTGGACAGAGGAACGGAGATGGAACTTGAGAGGCGATCGAGCAGTCGTTTTAGTTGGTCGTTTTATCTAGGGATATCTGCTTCTGCTCTTAGTCTTTTTACCAGTTTAATATATGCATGCGACGGCAGAAACCGACATTAAACTACTCATTGTTTAAATATATATATACTTACAACATTAGGGCTACTTTCATATTCGCACATCGGATTCAAAGATCAGATAAAATTATAAATACATTATATGATCTTAGTATGTCTACTAAATACAAAACCTTTTGGTTTCTCAATCTGGATTCTAAAAGAATCAGTTTCTAGTTGAAGAAATACAGTATCCGATTAACAAATTTGAGTTAATATTTTGTATATTCTGAGAATATACATCATTTCTGGGTTAAGAACCTTGTGTGCTAAGTAACTTACATTTTGCCTGCCGTAAATGAATAAATATGTATATTATTATGTTAAGCTGTGTTTCATATTAGATCTTATTTTAAAATTTCAAAATGGGTAGTATCTGTTACGATTAAAAATAATAGAAATTGTAGAAAAAATTGAAATAATATTGTCTGCCACTTTTAATTATTTTGTCATACCAATAGGTATTATTCTAATTTACCCTGAAGTTTTGATAAATAAAAAATGTATAACTTAGAGTTTTAGCGAATACTGCCGTATACATAATATTGAAATTTGCTGTGACATGTTGTGGGGAACTACAATAAGTTTAAGTTGAATTTAATCAGTAAAAAATTTGAGAGATTAAAATGAATTTTAAGAGGAATTGAATGTTATGATATAGTCAATCAAAAAAAATATGAAATCTATTTGTATTGTTATTATACCGAAGGAGACCGGTTGTATTTGTCATTCTTATCAACAATATTAAAGATAGAGTTTGCTGATTGCATCTTTCATTCTGGCTCACCATTTTATAATAAGATCTAATATAAAATACACGTGTTTACAGGTGTGTTTATGTAAATATTATAGGATTTAGAAAAAAGGGTATTCCAGCCGACAACTGACTATCGTGACATAAACAGGCTGCATAACATACCATTATTAACACAGATTAGGTGTCCTGATGATCGCGTTGACTATGTCGCCATACGTTATTAATTGGACATTATAACCCTTATTTGTAGCGCCAATCAAAAGTGCCGTACCTCCTGATGGTGTATGCATGGATAAAATAATGATAAAGCAACATGACATCTGGTCAGATGTTAGTACACTTGGTTAGCATGGAGCTATTATTGCAGTATTACTAAGATGATTAAGATAATCTTTCTTGTCCGGTCCTGCGCCAATAAAAATTTGGTCACGACCGCTGTCGACGTGACAATTGTAGAGACAAACTTACCAAGAAAAACTAACATAGTACTACGGTGCAACGAAGAAGGTGCTAAAATAAAATGTCCACCATCAGATCCATACAACAAATGTCGGCTAATATTCTATTTCTCAATGTAACTGTATAACATAGGTCATACTTTGTATTATTCAATCTATCGCTCAGTTTTAAAAATTGTTTTTTTTTTTAACAAATATATTTACAATTTTATATTCAAATATTATGTGTGTATTAATAACTGCTTAATTGTTTCTTATGTCTGCTGATCGTAGCTTATTTTTGGTCTGGATCACTCCAGTCTAAATTTTCCCAAAGATCATACGGGAATTTGTTCTGACCAATAGTTGTTGTGGTAAAACGGAGACAGTGTGGACTGGAGCGATTCCATAAATTTCGTTTGTTTTCTGATTTCCACATAAAAAAAAGGATATGAAATTGTCATCTTAGTTTAACCAGATTGGGTACGTTTTAAATCCTGTTGGCATTGGTTGTTGGGTGGTTAAAGAAAAACCAACACCGTACGCAGTGATTAGGGAAATCGAAAAAAAAAATCCTATGTACGCTCGTACTATAATAGCTGTTGATCTGAATAATTATTTTTTTCTTTGGGTTTTCGGACTAGTACGGTTTTACGCCATCGCTTTTCCGCAAAGAGAATTTCTTAGAATTTATAGCACGTCTACCACACGAATGGAAAACGGCCACCTGTCTATCCTAGTCAAGTATCAGTATTTTCTACCTGCTAATATTCTCGAATCATATTTATAAATTAAGTATTTTCTGTAAATCATATTTAGCTATTCTCCATCTTTGTTACTATCATAAGCCAGTATTATGAAATATGCCTTTTGTGTCTTCCTAATATACCAGCATTTTCTAGAATTGTTTTTTATTCCAGATGATGTTTAATGACGCCATGTTTAATGACGCCAATATAACTGCTCCTTGTCTCAATGTCTACTAGATTTTTACATTTTATTTCTTTATGAGGCCATTATCTGCCACTTGGACAATCGAGAGGTCTTAAATTGGTTATATATGTAACTAACTGCTTCTTGTGTTGTTAAGTTGAGAAGTACATTCGTTAACGTTGCTTTGATACGAACTACAACACTCACAAGTGTCACTATTTACTGTCTTCGGAGGTCGTTCTGGACGGCTTGATGATTCTTGTCAGCAACGAATCCAAAGTACCTGTTGCCTTCTTAGTGTTAAAAGAGCAATGTGCAGTTTGCATACCTTACCATTTGGGGGTTGGGTGGCCGAATGGTTAACACGTGTGCGCTGTCATTGAGTCAACTGGCGTGGTTTTGATTCCCCGGATATACGTGACAAGGAGTAGGGTCGCCTGTCCAAGCTCGTTGGTTTTCTCCGGGTCCTCCGGTTTCCTTCCACTGCTAAAGACCCCTACGCGCAAGTGGACGTTAAGCCCCATTTCTCTCTCGCATACGTTACCGTTAGTCATTGTCCGGTAGATATTGGCCTTAAGTCATAAACCACATTATTAATAATGCAATTTGAGTTTATTTAAGAACGTTATATTATTATTGTTTTATTTTTTCGTTGAATATATTCTAGTCAATCTTTTGTCGGTATTGTATTGTTTTTGAATTGTAAAATATACTATATTATGACTATGTGTATAGTCGTCATAAGCACGATCACGTTGTATTAGGTTTAGGTCTATATTCGTCATAGTATCGCAACTTCTCATTAACTCGGTTTTCGGGCCTGTTTGATTGTCACCATTCTAAATCTAGATTCTCCTTCCAGAATCGAGTCACAAATAGTTTTTAGAATCCATCGCGTAAGCAATATTTATTTTTATAAATTACGCAAGATACCTAAACAATTAAAAAATGTTTTACGTTGATCAGCTCTTGTTGATATGTAAATGACCTTACATGAATTAACACTACAAGACAGAACCACCTATCTGGATAGGAATTCAAAAATTGTTAGGAAACAACAGAATGAACAGAATCTAAATCGGATTCGTGACCGCCAAACCCGCCCGAAATAAACATGTAGTTTACAGTTGACAATACCAGGGACTGATTTAGTGTAAAATGCATCAAGAAATATAATTACAGAGTATTTTTATTGGAGTTTTTGGATTTTGAAAACTTGCCAACACAAAGACGAGAATACATTTACACGCTTAGAGATTTTAGTATCGACAGAGTTATCTCCCATACTATATTATTGTTGACTTCTAAAAATACTGGTAAATGCACACCACCAGTCCTATCCCGTCAGCTTCTTATTTTGACCCAATCATTGGGCTCCAGAACAGCCTAATAATTGATAACGATGCTTCATACATGGGCCAATGCATACCACAGACAATTTTTCCCTTTCTTTAAAACGTCGGTTAATGTCCGGCAACAATAGGCCTATCGTTGCATTCGAACAGACAACTGTTCGACTTTTGCAGGTACATGTATATTATTTTCCACAGTTTTCAATAAACTTTGTGTATATTAAAACGAAAGTGCTATTATTATTATTGTCTATGTTGTGTGGTGACGTGAGTTATTCTCCTTGTCTAGATATTTGAAACTGTTTTAAAACTAATTATACAGCGTTATATCGTATCTTTTTAAATAAACATTTTTAACTAACATTAAATGAATTGTCTTTGTTCAGTTTTATAAATTTAATTTCAACCAGTTGTTAAAATAGCTTGCAGAGTTATGCCTCTTGGTGACTAAATGCCTCTGTGCGTTTATAAGCCCGCGTTTATACCTAATTGTGGATTTGTGAGGGGCTGTGGGTTTGTACCCTGGGTTCCAAGATAATAGCAAAATTTAACTGCTACTGTTCTAAAAACACCAGAGTTTCATAGTTTCAATTGAGCTCCCACGCCCACACCATCTTACCATCCCGAAAGAACCTTCAGAAATCGTCACCAAATTGGTCATAACCAACACAACGGTCAGTCTCTCTGCGGAAGTGGAATAAAAACTTCCAGAACTATCATCACATGTTCACACTTTTATAACCATACAAGTGACCAAATTTGCAGATTCATCTTTATAACCGCGGTTCGGCATCATTAGTCACCCGATTACTTTAAATTATTGCGTTCAAAGGGGCTATTAAATTTAATAAAGTTTCGGTTTCGTTTTTAAAATCGGAAAAATAATTGTGACCTCTAGAGATTTTTCGATCAATCAGGGGCCATAATCCAGGCAGTTACGTTCGGATATGTGTGATTATCAAAAGGAACCAAGATCTTTATGATAAAAACATAAAAAATTTAAATTTTTACCCAAATCGGATAAAAACTGTGGCCTCTAGAGGGGCCACAACCTTGATATACTGTACCATATTTTTTTACACTATTTGCGTACAAAAGGCGGCAATTATGTCTGTCAGTTTTTTCGGATAAAAATTGTGACCTCTATAGGGGACCACAAGCTCAAAACGCAATTTTTCGTACAATCAAGGGCCATAATTCAGGAAGTTACGATGCGATATGCACGAATATCGACAGGAACTAAGGTCTGTGGGTTATAAACATGCATTTCAAGTTTCATCAAAATCGGATCAAAATTGTGAGCTTTGATATACCAGATGTTTACACTATTTGCGTACGAGGGGCGGCCAGTTTGTCTGTCAGTTTTGGTCCGATTTTTACGAAATTCCAACTCAACCACCCTAAAGGGGGGGGGGACCACAAGCTAAAAGCGCGATTTTTCGTAAAATCAGGGGCCATAATTCAGGAAATTACGATCCAATATCGAAAAGAAACAAGATCTTTGGGACATAACCATGCATTCCAAGTTTCATCAAATTCGAATGAAAATTGTTACCTATAGAGGGACCACAACCTTGATATACCATATTTTACACTATTTGAGTACAATGGGCGGCCATTGTGCCCGGCAGTTTTGGTCCGATTTTCACGAACTCAAAGATCATTAGGGTGTAACCGTGATATCCTAAAACGTTTTTTTTAAATTGGATAAAAATTGTGACCTCTAGAGGGACCACACGCTAAAAACGTGATTTTTCGTAAAATCAGGGGCCATAATTCAGGAAGTTACGATCCGATATGCGCGAATATCGAAAAGAACCAAGATCTTCAGGTTATAAACATGCATTTCAAATTTCATCAAAATCCGATCAATATTGTGACCAATAGGGGGCCACACGCTAAAAAAAAGTGATTTTTCGTACAATCAAGGGTCATTATCCATGAAGTTATGGTCCGATATATGCCAATATCGGACGGAACCGAGATCTTTGGGAGAATAACCTATATTTCACGTTTCGTCCAAATTGGATAAAAATTGTGGCCTGTAGACTGTCCACAAACAAATTGTGGACGGACGGACGGACAGGGGCGACAACAATATACGTCCACTGGGCGTATAAAAATCATCTATTTTGACCTATTGTGGCACCCAGACTGTGTAGGGCCTTCAGCATGCATATTAGCATGCAACTGTGCGCAGTAATAAAGCGCCTTGAGCATATGCATGTTAGGATGAAACTTTGCGCGGTATAAATGAACATATTATTATGGTTGTTTATTATGTATATGTGTAGGCCCTAAAATTTGAATTTGGTAAAACAAAACCCTTTTATTTTTACAAAAACTTTTATTTCTATCATTTATCTGTGACACGTTTATACCTGGCCGAATTTGATAAATTCCAATCGGGGCAGGTTAGCTGGCAAAGTTGTCTACCAAGTTCACATTTTGGATCATAGCGTCTAAGAAACTAATGGATGTTAATATTTCTTGTAAGTGAACATAAATCCATTGTCATGGATAAAGTGCTTGTGGCACATAACACATGTACACTAGTGTCTAATGCGAAAATTCCACAGGATTTTCCAGCATGGTTCCCCTGTGTCAGAGATGCAGAACAAAGGAAGGACCTTTCAAGGATGGTGACTAGTTATTGAGTTGGACGTGCAAGGTACCCTTGACAGTTTAATTTATTTGCCGTTCAGGCAAAATTTCGCTCACAGCACATTGTATATATGTCTGTCTTCATTAGCTTGATAGGTGCAGAAAAGTAATACTTAAACCCTCATTTCATTCATATTGTCTTTGAAGTCAAGTATTAGATACTGCAATTTTATTCTTTGACACAAGACATTTGCTGAGTTATCTGACTGTTGTGAATGTTACCTCAGCAACACAATATTTGTTTTTCTATGGTTGGGTGTGCAATGCCAGATAAAAACAATAATTATTATGTTTTGACAACAGCGTATATCTGTCTATTCTTCATTGATTTCGAACTATCAATGTCTACATAGATGGGCATTGATTTCGAACTATCAATTTCTACATAGATGGGCATTGATTTTCCGCAACATTCAAATGACTAGGTACAGTTTCCTTGTCAGCCCCACCTAATCCGGACAGTACAACTTGGCCCACACCAAAAGGTCATCATTTTACCTACTTGCAAATAACACCAGGTAACACATGGTTAGATCTATATATAGTGAAGGACATCTGAAGTGTATAAAAACAAAATTTACATCCGTATTTAATCTGATTGTGCATCCATATTAAGTGACATTGTTATGCCAGTTGACCGGAGCTGGTCTAAGGGTATAAAGATGACATTCAATTTCACATTTATTTACAAATCACAAACATTTCAAAAATGCATCGTATTCCTGCTCTGATGTTTTTGCAATAGTTTCACAAAACTTGCGATCGCTACAACTACACAAGGCCTGAAGGGATACAAAGTTTTCCATTTCAGGGTCATACTGAACACGCTTGACTTTCAGTAAATAACGATGTCTATGGTTTATTATAAATAATCGTGTTCCGAACACTGCCGGCCACTCCAATAGTCTTTTATGATCCAGTCCCATCACATTATGAAGAAAATCAAACTTTTTACCAACGCCATGCCGATCTGAAAAAAAAAAAAATAGATATATTTATAATAACTTGTAGAATCTGATATTAGTATTAATGAGGGATTTCAAGTCTCAAATATTAACATAAGATCGTTGTATGATCACTAGTTGTTGGCAGTGGTAATCTCCATTTTGAGCTCGTTCTCAGCCTGGAGTCAAACTTTATACTATTAAAGGTGTTTTTAATGACCACTGATTAGCCATAGAGATTTACATTCAATCAAATTTTAAGCTTTAAAGTTCCATCTAATTCAAACTGATTACCCTATCGGCGAATTTATTGACACTTATTACTCCAAATCACATATATCAAAGAGAGATAATGAATCGTTCTGGTTTTAAGTTAAGCCAATCTACTTTCTACATGTGATACTCTATGAATGAACATACCTTAAAAGAAGAAACAAAACAAAATAAATGTGCCGGGGGGTTGTAGGGAGAAAGGGATTGAGGCATTAAACTTTGTGCCAAACAAGAACACATGAAGTAAGGGAGACAATTCTTACCCATTAAAAAGACTTTAGGATAAGTCAGCAATATCTTCTTTAATTCTACATCAGTAAAACCCAAAAACTCCTTATAATACAGGGTATTTTCCTGAAAATAATACAATTTAGATTAAAAACCCTTTATAATAGAGACTATTCTCCTGAAAAACCAATAAAATGATGGTTTATAAAGATTTATTTTTTTGAGAACCAGGATTGTCCTTAAGCTACCATTTTATGTATATATAGCTTTTATAGAAAGGGAAGTGACGAACGCAAAAGGAAAATACGAGTTATCCTTCAATATAACTGACTGAAGTGACGAGTGATAACAGACACACTGGTGAATATCTGCTCACTTATAATTCTTTTGAAGACCAAAGTTGTTATATGAGACTGTGAGAGGATGTCTGATAATTCCAAAAAACTAATTGAATGTCACTAGATAAGGGAAAACGAGAAAAAATGGAAATAGTGCTTACATTCCCTTATTTTTATTTATTTTATACTAAAAACATGGTAATGCACAAACTTTTTCTATTTTTTTGGTATCTAGTGACAGTTAATATTTTTTTGCATTCGTCACTTCCCTTTCTTGAAATCTTCATAACACATCTATTGTAGCAATGATCTCTGTGTTAAAATTATATTTGGAACATGTTTAACCAGTTCTATCAAATATGTGATAACTGACACCAATAATGTCCTTTAAAGCCACAATGGCTCACTAACCTGGAGGTCCTGAAGTATGGAGAAAAAAGTCTGGTCTCACATTGACAGTTGGAAAGCGAAAAAAGAATACCTCTGCTTGTCATATACACATAAGCCTGGTTGGTGTAAATATGTAAGACTTTTGGGAATTTTGACCATATGATATTTGTCCATTAAATGAGTACGTTAACAGACACAGGTGATAATATATGTCCACATACATGTAGGAGAATAGACAGACAGTCAGACTGCAGGTACATGTATAATTTAGCCGATACTCCTGCGTCACTTTAAAAGGGCCACATGAGTCTTTATTTTAAAAACAAATACAGCCTCATTAAGTACCACAAGTAAATATTTAACCACAGTTATAGGAAGTAACTATATAAAAACAATTTTAATGAATACATAGTATTATTTATCAAGTATATGAAACCCTGATACAGTGTTAATGACAATCTAAAATGATACTGGATATATAATCATATACATTCCTATATTAGAGAGAGAGAGAGAGAGAGAGAGAGAGATGGGGTTTAACGTCCACTCGACACAAACTAGGTCATTTCGGGACTAACATATGGTTTAATTTTATTTCAATAATTCGCTTGCACGTAGGAGTCTTTAGCAGTGGGAGGAAACCGGAGGACCCAGAGAAAACCCACAAGGTTGGACAGGCGACCCTACTCCTTGTCACGTACAACAAGGGATTCGAAATTCCTATATAAAGCCACATGATGAGGTAAATGAAGTGCCATGAAATTTGATGTGTATGAGAAGTCATCTAGCCCAGTTGTGATCCTTTGACAAAATAAAAACTCAAAAATAAAAATACCACCAAGGATTGTCTGAGAACCAGAATAAATGTTTGTATGACCAAAGGTAGTAAAATGTATTTGTAACTAACCTGTATTTTGTTAAGTCTCCATGTTATGATCTTTGGTATCATTGTAGCTAGTTGACGTACCTCATTACCTATAAAACATAAAATATAATACATAGACAGGTGTGTGAAAAAACATACATGTATGCTCTTTTTACAAACAGTATTATACCGTTAATGTCTTCATATTGTAGTGCTAATTTGTAAATGAAATGTCATCACAAGGTCATATTCATAAGGTGCATCACTCTTTAAAACACCCATGTCAAAAATCCTTGTGGAATTGCCTTTCTAGACAGCAATATCCAATTTTGATATCACTTTGGTCACTTTGGTCAAAATTGAATACGCCATATCTTAGAAATCGCCAATCCCATATCATGCTAAAAATTCCATCCATTCTGCATGACTAACAAGGTTAAACCAAGCTGGAAAATCCCAATAATCCTGCAAAGTCAAATCAGTGGGCTCGTGGCTGGTTGTAGTTACTCTTTCGAACTGCTAATATTGCCAATCACGGCTCCCAGAGATAAGTTTACCCTTTGGCTATATGTCGGCCATTTTGAATATCATGTGATGTATTATTCTGTCGGTCGCTTCACATAGATCCAAGATGGCGGCTCAAACATGCGTTTCTTCAGAAATTTTGCATATTTAGCCGAATCACTCACATTACGAGCTAAAAATAGTGCCCGCTAATTAATCAAATCAACTGTTTTCAAATGAACTTTTGATGTCAAGATCGTGGAAAATGTTTCAAGGATCGTTAATATGTAAAGTAACTCATGCAACAAACCGATGCCTAATTGTCAAGAAATCGGCAGCATTTCATTCAAACAAATCTAGCCAATCAGGAGGCACTGGTGGCAGGGCTTAGGAACTGATTTAAGACTGATTAATGGCCAGCGAGTTTTCCCAGAGATAAACGAAGGGTAAACTTATCTCTGGGAGCCAATGATTGTGCTATGGCTAGTTTATAGAAAAATTGTTTTACCTGTCAAATTAAACTGTTTCTGAAAGTAACCTAGCTTTTTATCAACTGTCTTCACAGGAAGAGATAAAAACAGTGGAGCTTTAAGAACTATTCTTGCAATGGATTCTTTACTGAATTTTTTTGACTCGAGATAACTGACCCGCGCTTGTAGATCTTCTAAACTCTGTTTAAAAATCAATGGATTCTTTGCTAGATATGATCCGTATTTGTGTACCCCACAGTCTTTTAGAAATAACAAATATGGCATCACATCTTTGTCAAAATCTAATTTTACAATCAAGTCAGCCATACCCTTGTATTTCTCAATTGCACTTAAATCAACGCCTATTTTTAAGAGCTTTTGTAATGTGTCTGATTCATTCACTAAAGCAGCTAAGTTAAACACTGGCTTAAATTCTTTAATAGAAACTGGTTTGTCCGTCACAGGTTCCAAACCTGTTTCCGGTTCCTCAGAATTATTTGGATTGTTCTCAATAAAATGTCTTTCATTTTTGTGTTCTGTGGTTTCATCTAGTCTGGCTTTGTTCCCATGAATGCTTTTAAAGTAATCAATTTTTGGTCCAGATGATGGTTCTGTATTAATAAGGGTTGTCTTCCTTGACTCTTCAGGGTTATTGCCTTTAACATCCGTCTCATATGAAATTCCAGATTCCTCTTTTTCTGTAGAGATATTTTTATTTGTGAATGAAGTCGTGGAACATCTTAACCATGAATTATAACACTTCAAAAATTTCACAGTGTCTGTATCAAAAATCTTGAGTCTTTTGGCAACTGAAATCACTCGCAACATTTTAAGTTTTATAAAACTGATTTACATGACATCAGATAGGACACCAACTGAAAAGACAATTTATATATATGAATTTTAGTCAGGGAGGACTGAGAGCCATTAGAGCCTCACAAAAAATTACAATGCCCCCCCCCCTCCCTTCACCCCCTCCAAAAAAAAGGTAATATATATATAAATTTTAGTCAGGGAATATCAAGCTGTGGACTGAGAGCCAGCCATTGGAGCCTCACAAAAAATTACAATGAGCCCCCCCCCCCCTTTCCCTTACAATTCAAATTTTCTTCCGACTGTGGCTATACAGCCCCACGTAAATTGGTTAGCTACAAGTATCTCACTAAGAACTTTGAGATACGTCTGATTATGTGTTTGTTGCTACGATTGGAGTCCTTTTATATAGTTCCACTCATTTTGCTTAATTAAGGTGGCATTAAGTAAAATTAGATAAAGAGCTGACAGTTCTTGCTATAATAGTTAAAAAATAGATAATGAAAAGAGAATATGCTGAAAATTTCAGTCAAATTACTTTACTCTGAGCCTAGATATTGGCGAAACATTATAGTTTAGCCTCGATTGTCACTATCGTTGTCACGATAATAAACAAAGTCTTGATTATCCGATTTACGGTATCATAACTGCATCGACCACAAAACATATTTAAATCTGCTTGTAACATAGACGGGAAATCTTTCTTTGTTCTTTTCGTTGAATAAGCCGATTGTTTTCCCTCTAGTAGATTGGCTGGAGCTTAAACGTGCAATAACTAGACATGTTCAATGTTATTGCACTCTTTTGCTGGTTTACACTAGTTTTAGTAGAAATCATATAGAGAAGTCGGGTGGGTTTTCTGTGCAATAACAACAAGCATGTTGAGCAGGTGTCAATGTGACAAGTCATTTATAATTTATAGCACACTTCATTCGTTAACAGGTTTTACATCTCAACCTACATGTACGGCCTCAATGTTTAAACCTCTTAACTCATGAAAGCCGTGCTATAAATATAATTTATATCGCAGCCATCTGATAGCATCGCGAGTTGATTATGGCCTTGGTTAATTCATTAATGTCTAACTAATAATTTATATAATATATCAGGCCTAAAGAAAGACCTGCATTGGGCAGATTTTTCAGCACTTGCATAAATGCCTGTTTAATGTACAATGTCTTAAAAATCTCATACTGTGACTAATTAAACACTGGGCCTGCACAATCTTTGCAATGACAAAACTTTGAAGTAAATTAAATCTTATTAATAGACATTAAATTATAAGCAGTGTTGTTCCACAGTGCATTCTTTCCCAAAACCAGGAAGCAAGCAAGCAAGGCACCCCTTGCAAGCACTAATGCACGTTTGAGCGGGTTAATTATATAGATAACAACATGCAAATATTTAGCCCCTCCCAAACCCACCCACTAATTCAGATCTTCGCTACGCCACTATTCGATGGGATAAAATTAGCTCCTCATATAAATAATATAATTGGCTTAGGACAGTGTTGATTCAACAATCAACAAATACTTTATCTAATTCTAAAGAGTTATGTTATAGGTCTAATGACTGATTATGACGATTTATCATTTATCATAGTTTTATTAAAGCATATTATTTTGTCGTATTTAAATTATTCTCGAAGTTTGACAAACCTCAAAGGTCAAAACAGAAAAACGTGCTCATCTGTCAGCCATACTTGTTTATAAAATTGTCTTATGAATCTCTTTCAAACGAGCTTGTGATAAGGGACGCAACTCGTTCATTTTATGGAACGTAATTGGAGGCAGACCACCATTAAATTTCATCATCTCGGTACCCAAATGAATTGTAGTTCGTCTATTTATAGCAATTCTCTCTCTCTCTCTTTTCTCCCCTTTTGCATGCCCATTTTTGTTGATTTTTTGGTCTAGAATGGACGAAGAGGGTTTGAATTAACATTTTCTGCCAGGTTTTGGTAAATATTCATGATTTTGAGGCGGAAGGATTTAAGAGGGTTATCAGGTTAGCTACGGCGATATGTACGGCAACTAGTTACATGTTTTTAGTATGTTTCTTCAAGTTTGTGTATCTCAAAATTTTGGTGGTCAACCTCATACAAATTTTAGTGCAAAGACATGATCATTTGTTCCCCTGTCTGTAGTGAAAAGCATTCAGCCCAACGAAAATTTGGGGAAAAGTTGGAGGTGGGCAAAGAGGCCAGAATTAACATTGAAGTCAATTGGGAAATTAATGGTGGTCTGCCTCCTAATTCAGACCACAGTTGTCTATCTCGGATAATAAATCATTGTAGATATTTTTATATTTTAACTTTATAATCGTTCATTTGTTATTAGTGTCCATTTATTAAATACCCATTGGACAATAAAACAGCCCAGTTCACCTGACGCCCTAAAACATTGCCCCGTGCTGAATATAAAAATCTACTGATGGGGGTTGAACATTACTCTAAGGTATCTCTGAGGTCCAGGGTTCGATCACTGTGTTGGGCAAGAAACGTCCTCGGGATTTTTCAGCCTGCCCTCCCCCTTGTTAGTGGTGCATTAGCGTATAGTCTTTCGGATGGTACGAAACTCCGAGGTCCCGTGTAGACTACACATTGACGCTCACGTAAAAGAACCATTGTCAGTCATGTCAGTTGGAATTCGATTGTCTAATCAAGGTCAACGGAATTATTATGCTGAGTCGCAGGTCCAGAACGCACTTTCCTTAAACTTAAACTTTTCTTAAGTTAATACGGAGTGACCAACCCAACTCAAGGAAATAAAATAATCTATAGTCACCGAATTTACAAATAACATTGTTTATACTGCAAATATAGATTATCTTTATTTATCAGTATTTAGTTTTCACCTATCATTTATCCCAGTAACCTACTATAACCCCCCAAAAAATACATCTGGGAAATGTAAGCAACTCTGTCGTAAAACTGACATTAAAATTGCAAAAAGTAACATTTCTTTATTTATCAAAAAATGTATTGGTTTTCACTTTCCTTCTGAAATAATAACATTTCTTTAAAATATATATAAATATTTTAAAGAAATGTTATTATTCCAGAAGGGAAGTGAAAACCAATACATTTTGTGATAAATAAAGAATAATTTGAGTACAAGAAATTAAAACTGCAAAGTTTAATATCGTAATAATTTTGTCTAATATATTATAGAAGTAAAATAAAAAATCAGTGTAATAAAAAATACCCCACACTTTTTTTTTATAATTATGTAATCTACAATTGTAACCTGAAATGTGACCTAAAAATAATATTTTATTATTTCCTCGATGAGGTTAATTCTACATGCACACGTTTTGCTCCGTGGGGACTCCACGTTTCAAGGTTGTCAAGAACTTGGCCATACCGCGTCACAAAGAAGGGGGTCAATCTATTCTATTTAACATTTTTAATCGGGAGCGAGTCGGGATGGAAGATTGGGGTTAGAATCAGGTGTATTACACTTTGAAAATGTATAAATTATAAACATCGTGTTGCCTTAAAGGGGCTAAACCTTTTTGGTTTATGTCAAGATCCGTAGACTACGTGTCTTATGTCGTACGAAAGGTGTCTGGCCAAAGTTTAGTAGGGCACATCTTTTAAATAACATAAAGATGCATAAAAATAATACTTTGGAGATATTGACCGGTCACTAAGACAATGACTGTCGATGTGTCGTGATATGATTATACAGTTACGCCGAGTTCGTTTAAATTCGAGTGTATGCATCATTTGAGATAATCCATCGATGAGATATATATTTTCTAAAATGTCTTACGATTTGAAAACATGATAGCATTAAGACGTTTTCAAGGGAAGTCCTGCGGAAGCTCGTCAAAATGATTTAATTAGGTATAGTGCATAGTGTCTGAATTAGTAATAATTCAATACTCTCTTACATACATCCCTGCACTGCAAGCTTTTAATTATAATTGTGTACTTTTAAAGTAGCTATATCTCTAACACATATCACCCAAAGTCTTCGACATTGAAAACACGAATTATTTGTCAATTTAAATCAACATTGATGCTGTGATCTTACTGGGAAAAGATTGGCTTCTGATCTCCAACATTTAAGACAAAATAAACATTTTACCATTGGTACACGAACCGTGTACCATAATGCGTTTCAGCGCCATTTGTAACAAGTGACTCGATGAACGAGGCTAGACATATTCCACAAGTCATGTCAAACGGTGACCTCATATTCTTATCTGAGACTTCTGGCGTATTTCGCCGAACATTACTGATTTGAAATTAGAGTAAAATAGAAAACGATTGAATGTTAATCAGTTTATATACATTCATATTACATTATTATATACGTTGCGACCCATTTGTGTGAATTTCTACGTCCCGGCTATTAGCGATTTAGCTACTTTAAATATAACTGTGTACAGATATAATTATTTACCTTTAAATACAATTATCTACTTTTAGAATTATATGAAAATATTTCAAAAGGAAACAGCTTTATTTATAACCCGTTAGAATTCTTCCCAGCGGGATTGACACAAAATGTACTAAAGCAATTGTGACTATTATAAAAACATTTTTCAATTTGTAAAAAAAAAAAAACAGAAAAAAACAAAACAAAAAACAAACAAAAAACAAAACAAAGAAAGACAGAAAGAAATGCAAAGGGCGTGTACGTGTTAAAATATCCTAATTCAGCTCAAGAGACACTTTCGCGATTTTGACATTCTCAATTTTACCGCGACATTAGGGTGTAACTATCCCCAGTTTTATTGTATATGTTGAATTGTGTACTTCAAAGATTATTTAAACGGGTGCAGGTTTAAAAATACAAAAGCCCAAGAGCATACTGAGATGTGTATGGTAAGTTAAAAAATTACATTAAACACAAACAAATTCTAATCGTCATAATGCGTGATTAAAATGAACTGCATGGGGTTTAACGTCCTATGTTCTGCATTTAATACAGATTTAATTAATGTGTTTGCTGACAATGAAATAATTATCTTAAAAAAAAAAAAAAAAATCTGGAACACCACGTGCAATCTAGGTTTCGTTTTACAACAATCTGTTAATTGCGGATCTGATACGAATTAGCATCGTCATCTATGTCAATTAGTGTTCATTACATTAGAAAAGATTATTACATGTATAAAGAACACCTGGCTAACCCGTTATCTGGTTTAGGAAAAGCTGTGTTTTGGTTTTATCAGAATTGGTTAAAACCAAATCTGGTTTAAATTAACCACCGCATGCGATGAAGGGATATTTAATTAGCATTCAATAATTAACAATAGAAGTCATCAATATAAAGAACATTTAGACGAAGCACAAGGCGCTCCTGTGATTTGACTCTTGGTACCAGTTGGCTTAGTAGGGTATCTACTTGTAAGTAAATGCAGGAGTACTGCTAAGTTGGTCTAGATTATTTATGTCATGAGATTATGTAGCCCACTTTCAGCTATTCCTATATAAACATTTAGCCGGTATATTTCTTTTCAGGCTAAATAGTGATATATATATTTATTGGCCCTATATATGTCGTGTTGCTTTTTTAAATAATTACACTACCTGTCTTCCAACTTGTCTGATTTTTTTGTAGAATCATAGAAATTAACAAATTATTCTTTGCTATATAAATAAGTTACGTTCTCATTTTCCTCATATACTTACATGTAGGATATCATATTTCGTATTTATATTATTTATCTTCACTTTCTTTTTGATTGGATATGAAAGATGACCTTTAAGACAGTGTATTACGTCATAGCAGGTGCCCGTGAAACTGTTTATATACACATTGTATGTAGTAATGATTATCAGACAGCATCTCTAGTACCATAGCAATTACATATAGCAACCTGTTGCCAAATATACTCACTATAAATAACTAGACCTACATCCTATATTTACAGATCTATCACTGAAGCACGGAACAATTCAACATTATGGATGCTAAATACCAAAAGGTAAGACAAAATTATCTATATAATTTATCATTACATATTCCCTTGATTTATAATACTAAAATAAAAATTTAAGTACATATTTAAGCCCGGGCTATAAATTAGCTGCATACACGGCGATTATCTCCCTTTCAATGCAAGGTCACTGATTGAATAGTTCTATTTTGAAGATTTGTTTCGAATAGTTTTATTTCTAAAATTCTGGACGACTTTTATCGAAACCTCCGCTTCTCTTTGTGTTTTCCCGTCTTCATTACACAGTTAGTGTGGATAATATAAGGCGTTAGATTAGTCGTTCGAATGGGACGAAAAACCGAGGTCTCGTGTAGCCTACACGTTGTCGTGCACATGAAAGAAACATTGACAGTTAGGATTCGAAATAAGAGCAGGTCGTAGCACAAATTACCCCATAATACGTTGTATGATATATGCCCGTTTTCATTTGCCCAGTCGATGCAGAAAAGTGGGACGTTGTATACACCCCATTGAATATTTCATTTCAATACGCTAGACCCATGTTTCTATCTTTGTGTTGTTCCAAAGAAACCGTGTCGATAAACTATTTTAAAGTTCTAGTTATCAATTGACGTAAGAAAATCTTGGTTTCAAGTTTCATAACAAAATGCTATTACAATGCACAGGGGGAATTAGCCCCAAGGGGGACAATACAGTTTTCGCTGAATATCTTTACTTTTGATACTTGTCTGAATTAAATGAAAATATTCGGATGGTTTGTTTTCGGATGACAAAATGTGGGAGAAGGAGCACGGAGCGTTGAATATGATTTTTATGTGTTAGGAGCATTTTCCTATTGACCCTACTACGTCACAATACCCAGTTCAGTTCAACAATGTGTTGCTTATAACCGCCATTTTTTTCCATATTAATCTACGCTAAAAGTATTAAATTTAATCATTTATAATTAAAGTAATAAAACAAAATCAACGGTAGATACTCCCCTGTATCGTCTGCAGAAAGCTGATAAATTTACAATTTCTTTAATACTGAACGGAATTAAACCATTTTTTGACAGATATTCGTTTCTGAGATTCAATGACGTCATGAGACTTTAATCTAAAGTAATTAATAACATCGAATAACACACTATTTATGGATAACAATTACTATGGTTTATTTCACTGCGACGTTTCGACATGTGAAATCTTGTTGACTTCGCAGTGAAATAAACCATAGTAATTGTTATCCATAAATAGTGTGTTGTTCGATTATGTTCCAATTACTAAATGCCATTCAAAGAATAAATTTAATAAAAACATGTTATGAGATCGATTATACGATTAAATTTTTAATTTATATTTTTACCTTGCTGTTTTCACGCAAATCAAAGAGATTCTATAGATTATGCTATAAACCTAGATCTTTTATAGTTCGATGAACTGTTGAAAGTTAAATTAGAAATGTAGATAATAAACAGAACATCGATTATTTTCGCTTATTCCATCCAAATTGAAATTCAATAGTAAAAAACTGTGTATTTATCAATGTCATAGGCCTAAACATGTAACGGGAACAAAGTCGATAAGACCAACCCGAGGACAAGACAAACTACAAAGACAAGAAATAAACAACATATGCCAAATCAAGTGAATAAATCTTGGGGTCAGCCCAGGGCATGTAATGATACGGGCTTCACTATGACAATGAAAGCTTTACAACAAATAAGTAATAGAAATAATGCGACCAGTCTCAAGAATTACCCAAATGAGATAAAATGCGATAGATGCAACACCTTTTGGACTGGGTTGACGGCGTATGCCAAAAGGAAAATATTGATATTACTCTTTTAAAGGACGACCAACATGTGAAAGACAGACTTGTTTACTTCACATTCAAAAGCTGGGTTATGCTTAGATTTATGACATCACAATGTTATGTCGTCACAATAACAAATAAAACGTTTAAAACGAACGTACATTAGGCCTTTGCATTAATAGTCAATTTTTTTCTGAGATCAGGTCGGGATATCAAACCAACAACTAGAACTTACAGTATTAATGCAAAATTTACAAAAGTATATTTTTGCAACCATGGCAATACTTGCTTCCAGTGTTGGAATAGTTTCTATTTTAAGGGCATGGAACTCGACCCCTCTAAAGGGTATAAACAGAGTAAGTTGTTGAATAATAAACTATAATGATCACACCAGTTCCCTAGACTAACACTATTCGTTTTGCTTTAGTAATAAATTAGAATTCACCCATAATTGACCACTATGCATTGTAGGTCATGCATCATACCGAACTGCATATTACATGTTTAGGTGGATTAAAGCAAAAGAACACATATTTATTTAAAAAATAAACAGAAGTTTTGTTCTTTTTGTTTTATATACCGTTGAAAGTTAGAATATTATTGTCGAAATAAAGATAGACTACCATTCTTAATCTAAAAGACCACAAAAGAAAACCAAGCAAATCCCACCCATGTTAGAAAAAAATTGAAATAACCAAACGAAAATAATAATAACGAAATATGTTCTAAACATATTATGTCCATTGGAAGAGGTGGGTGAGTTTTTCATTGTCTAAAATTGTCGAAGAATGCCCACTGACTTTTCGTTCATCATGTTTTTAAAATCAATTTCAGAGAAGTGGAAGAGTTGTGGGCCGTGATGAGTTTCCAGATAATGTAGACAGCACTCAAGATAAAGAAGATTTCCTTATATGGCAGATTCATTCTTGAAGATGGAAACAAAAGTAAACTTAGGAGACCAGAATGTTACATTAGAAAAGAGAAATTATTGTAAAACCATGCCTATAGCGTTAGCAAGGGGAGGCTATTCAGTCCGTGTAGGTTCAAAGACTGCGAGATCAGTCTGCAAATCAACATAGAATTTTACGATTAGGCTATATTATACATTCAACAGTACTACAGACATTAATTCTTCGCCATGCTAACTCCCCAAATGAGAAATTAATCAGCTTATAGGCCTGCAATGTGGAACTAGCCAAATAGGCTACTCGGGCGAAGGAAGGGGAAGTAACTCACGTTCAAGTTTAGATTACTAAATGAAATAATTTATCAAACCAACGAAATTTCTGATAATGACCGTTAGAAATATATCAACAGTACGTGTAGGGGCCTAATGCTTTACTGTAATACCTATCGTAAAGGGGAATAACCCGAGTTGCAACAATTATTAGAGCTGATTTGCCGTTTAAGTTTCAATTTCGCCAGTTAAATATTTGTTTTTCCATTGAAGTGCAATATCTCATATCCTCATAGACAAAGGCCACATGTAATAAATTATCATCAATCGAAATATTAAATATCTACGTACCATAATTATCATTAGGTTATTTATTAAGAAATTGATTGACAGAATTATGATAGTGTAATTACACTGATTATACTTTCGATTTTTTAACAAATTCTTAAAAATGAATTAAGAAATAATTTATTCTGCCCTTTCCCAAGGATTTTCAATGCAATTTAAAGAACATTCTCATATAGAGCAGCTTTTTAACATCTATATTTAGTTCAGTTTTGTATATTATTATGTTATTTTGAGTGTTACTTTATTATTTTGAATTTGATTTTTTCCAATTGTTTGAAGTTTGTGTTTTTGTGGCTTTTATTTTAATTTTTAATAACGTTTCGCCATATTACATAACAATAAACGATGTTTATTTATTATTTCATCCACTCTAATTAAAAATAGATATTTATTTCTTTCGACATGTACCGGTACATATATATATTATTGGTCTACGTAGTGCAAGTGTAAATGACATAAACACGAAAAAGAAATTGTTATTAGACTATAAGGAATGTGAAATATTAAATACGTATATATTATACATTTATATTCAGATATTTAAAATTGAACTGAGTGATCGGATCAAAAAGTATCTGACATTGTGGAACGTTATGCACTATTATTTTTAAGTGATTTTTGTTTTGTTTTTTTTTTTGTTGTTTTTTTCTTCTCATTTAATCCCATAGTATTTTCTTGTAATAAAATTGTATATGAATATTTAGATACGGGTCTAACTTACTATTTATTGCTATAATAAAACGTTTAGGGCAAGTCAGGTGGGAAATGTAATCTCCGCACCCCCGCCCCCCACCAACCTTCAAATTATTATTCCGTGCAAACATCAAAATACATGTTATTTATACAGTGTATATGGCGTAAACAGTATAGAATGAAAATGAGTCGATTGATAAAAATACTGGCAAATAAGTTTGTTCAAGATGTATTGATTTTATACAATGGTGTACAGTACACCATCCCCACATATGAAAGAAAGTCGCGAGCCCATCCCAACTGACCTCTCTCTCTGCTGTGATGTGAACGCTATTCCAAATGGAATTTCTTGTCCCAAATCGTGTCGATTTTGGTGCCAACAGACTATAATCCAAACACCTCGTATGCGTTTCTAGGCTAGCCTTTTTCAGACTTTCGGAAAACATGCTTCTTGGTTAATGGAGCGCCTCCATGACGCATTATTTCTGGAATTTCCATGTGAAGACTGTTGTGGGCCGACAGGGGCGGGGCGGGGCGGGGTGAATCTGTAACCGAGGAAATTATTGATTTCGGCGTACCTTAAGAGTCGATACTGCATATACCGGAGAATAGAGTAGAATATTTAAAGTAACCTGTACGCCATGTCCACAACATGAACGCGACAGAGATCGGAGGTAAGTAAACCAATAGGTTATAATTTTCAAGGGCATTGTACTATAATTCTGATTCTAAACTAACTGGTATTCATTGTTTTGGGACGTGAACACCCATATTACAAGTGTCATGTCTATCTAAATCTGATACTTTCCTTCTCTCAATTAATACCCAAAGCGCGTGATTTTCACAAGACAGGTATTGCCCCTCTGATTCTTTACTTTTTTTACAAAGCAGCCTAGCCATTTAAACAAGGTGCTTGTCAGCTGGACATTTTTTACATTAATAAACACATATTTGCAAATATGAATGTCGGTTGAGACATGGAACTGTAATTATTAAAGATACATTATGCAAGAGCTAAATCTGCCTATTGCAGGTCTTTCTGTAGGCCTGATATGTTATCTAAATTATAATAGACATTAATTAACTTATCCAGATCATAATCAACTCTAGATGTCAACGCTAGCCTGCGATGTTTACTGGATTAGGATACCATTTGCTGCTGCACTTTCATTCTTGATTTAATCATGAAATGGAGAATCAAGACTATGTTTGTACCGACTTTAGTAATGATGATTGAGGTTAGGCCGAAAATTCAATCACTAAAATCTCGGTTCAGAGTGGATCAATTTGACTGAAATTTTCAGCAAATTCCCTAGTGAGAACTGCCAGCTCTTTATCTAATCTCCCATAATGTATCTTTAAAGATACATTATTCAAGAACGTAAATGACGACCAGAAACTTAAATAACAGACATTGAATTAAAAATGTGTTGAATCATCATTTAATGTTTTCAGCCTAGTTCCACATCATGTGACAACTAAATAAGTCCTTCCTATACATTAACGCATAACACTGACATTAATGACTTAAATTTTGTTTATTCATAGAAAATGTACATCTTAAAAATAAATAAGAAGAACATTTTATTTTTATATTTACATAAAAAGTGTTTTTAATACACTGAGAAATATGGTAATAACAAAAAGATGACACATAAATATGTTTAAAAGTAGTATTTTCAAGAAAACAAGAATTTGTAACTCATCCATGGTCTTAAAATCAAGCCTATCAACATAATAGTTTAATCTGTGTTGATGTCATATGTCAAAAGGAAATATTTAATACCAGGTCATATTTAAGGCAGTATAAAGAGTACAGCTGTTGTGATATCACCTTAGGTGGAAGTGGACGTAAAACGAACGAACGGTATAGCTGCTCACAGTTACCGGTGATTTTATGGTTCAGAGATCTTGTCTTTAAAGTTTTATAAATCAATCCTACGGGGTATATAAATATATTGAACTATTTAACTATAGAATATATAGGCCGATCCATCCACTAATAGTTGAACTTCCATTATCTCTGGCTCCAATCAAAATCACTCCAAAGTAAACACTCAATCTCATCAAAATTTGTAACCATCCGCTAATTTCACCCACCTGTGACATGTTAGAAGTCAATGACAAGTATTATAAACTGTCCACTTTGAGGGTTGTTGTTTTTATTGTGCACTTTAAATAGAAATTTTCATTGCAAATAGCTGAGTTAAATTAAGGTAGTGATAAAAACTAGACCGTCGTTGATCTAAATATTGTGTTGTCTCTTATCAGACCGGCAAACATTTTGTTTGCAAATTGGTCATGGTACAGTGATTTGACAGGTTTAATTACAAGTGGAAGGGGGTAAAACCAGAATATCATCAATGCAAAAGAAATTGATGTGATGAGGAAATTGCACGATTTTATAATTTCACCCAATTATGATTTTCTTTGAAGAAAACCTCCAAAAGAATTCTAAAAACCTTTGTTCTCATGAAAACAGTCTTCTAAATGTCAATCACAACAAAAATATCATGTTCTGGCTTTTGATCGAGTATTTGCATAGCTGAATAAGTTATAGCTTTCACTTCTGTCCCTTGTGGATGTTTTCCAATTTCAAATGGTTCACCATACCTATCAAAGAGTAATTAAGATAACATATACATGTATGTTAATCAAGATCGAAACAAAACATTTTAGTACCATATCAACTTGAATTCCCTCTGCAAAATCAAACTAATTTCAAGCGTAAAGTCTCAATGTGTCAGAAAGCTGGTAATCATTTTCCTTATTTAGATTTATCCCATTGTTTAGATTTAAAACAATCACTTCATGTTGATGGATAAAAATTAATTATCCTTGTGGCATACAGAAATGAAATGAAAGGAAATGGGGTTTAACGTCCTACTGTTCTGCTCCTAACCTGGGCTAATGAAGATGGGCATACGCCATACAGTGTGCTATGAGGGAAATTTTGCCCGGGCAGCGGCGCTACGGCCTACTCTTATATCGAATTCCAACTGCCAAGGGATCTTTTACATGCACGCCAATTTGTACACAGGACCTCGGTTTTTCGTCCCATCCGAACGACTAGACAGCTGTCCTTGTCAGGCCCTCCATCCTGCATCACTGACAAGGGGAAACCACACCGGAAAATCTGAATGCACTTTCTCGGCCAATGCAGGGATCGAACACCCGACCTCCAGGCTAGCGAGCCAGCGTCCTACCCACTTAGCCACATGATCCCCCTGTGGCATACAGTAATAATACAGATGACAGTGTAAAATCAGTAGAGAGTTAACTAGAGGTATGAATCATTTTTGGACTACAGTGCTTTCTGTTAAGTAAGACTACTTTTAAATTGATTGTGCCTAGTCTAAATATCTATGTCTGCCTCTTGTCTGCAATGCCTTTAATATCTAATTCGTTGAGTACTTATTTTGAGTACACTGAGGGTCAAGGGAACTGGATTTAAACTCAACCTTATATTCGCACCCTTCCACTAAATAGTGCTACCGTCGCCTGTTGACATAAACAGAATATGTCTGCTGCGGGAGACCTCTATAACTCGTGCCCAGGGTGTGAATACAAGTCTGTTTTCCAAGGGAAAGTACCTGTAAGACTGAAAAGTAAAGTGTTTACTTTTTGATCAGATAAAAAACCAAGGTCTACTCATGGACACATTTATTTGCATGTAAAAGTAGTCTTGGCAGATGGAATTCAAAGAAAAGTAGAAGCACACACTGCCTTGTGAGCAAAACTCTTCTCTTACATGACCAGCTTAACAGAAATAGGGACTGGGTTATCTCTCTTCCATTTAAAGCAAGCTAACAGTGAGGCTGATGTCCCCCGCCAAAATCCCGAAATAAACAGATGACACATATTAATTAATTGCAGGTTTATCTTTTTCAAAAGTATCGAGCAATCAAACTGATTATCAACTATACACTAAGTTTCATCACTCTCTATCAGATAGAATCAACCTAACGAACATCAATATCAAGTTTAAACATTCTACCTCAATTAAAAGCAGAGTTGTTATGTTCCAAAGTCTTAACCAATCAAATTGCTTATTGCTGTGCTTACCCTCAGGAGAAAATTTTCATTATCGAACTTAGTCAAGGTATTGATGTGATAAAACTATACAACAAGTTTCATCACCCTCACTAAATTAGAACTGAAGTTATCATTTCCAGGGGCGTACATAACGATTTTGTTTGAGGGGGTGTTTAGCCAAAATTAGACCGACTGATGCACATACTCCCAGTACGAGTGACGCAGTCAGAAGCCGCGCACCACAGGTGCAAGTTTTATAGGGGCCATGTTCAGTAGCGGATCTTGAAGCTGGGAATAGGGTGTGGGGTGGGGGCAGTTCCAAATCTAGGGAGACATCCACAATCCCACCCCACAATGAATGTCAACAAAATACTGGCTATAACATTAAGCGTCCAAGTAGAAAATAGATAGTATTGTATAGTTATGTAGTTGTTCGCCGATCGTTGTCTCGCTGGAAAGCAATTTTATTTGAGTTGACATAAATATTATGTCATATATGATGATTGTGCCTATAACACTGAGCAACCTGAGAAAATTTGGAAAAATTGAGTCAATATCCTAGAATTTGAGGTCATTGCTGGGAGAAAGTCTTGTGGACGAGAGGACCAGAAATGTGAGTCAATTGGACAGAATGTCGAGATCTGCCCCTGTCAATTCCGCCTGTTTTGCAAGAGTTGACATAACATTTGTATAGTCTGACGACCCACACACCTCACTGTGAATATGATAGTGCTGAGACAGTATAAGGTAACAGAGGAATAGAAGAATGATGTTATAACGGAATCAAGCGCCGCCGAAACTTTTAATTTTTCGGGACTGGGTCTGAAATTTTAGTCAATGTCATGCAAATGGAACCAAATTCTCGTTAACGATAGTATAAGAAATGGGACAGAATCTTGTCGCCTATCTGTCAATTTCGCCTGTTTTGTGATTGTTTGTTTACCTCATTAAATCATTTAGACTGAGACCGACTGCGGTGAATACTTTTTTTGAGACTGACTATTTTTTTGCCATGGAGGAAAAACATTTCACAAAACAACATACTCACAACAGAATAAAGAGTGACGAACATTTTTTCAAACATGACAAGCAGACATGGCAGTTATGGCACTATAGTTTTGTGTGACGTATTCAATTTAGGCTCACGGATTCACGCAAATACTTAGTATTTGGGATCTATTCTGCCATTGTTTACCTCATTAATTCATTAAGTTGCCAATGCATAATTTTAGTGACTGCACTTATTTTGAGACCGACTATTTTTCTCTCTAGGGGAAATTTTGTTCTTGGACCAACATACTCACAACAGAATAAGAGTGAAACACAACATTTTTTCAAACATGATATGTTGACAAGGTTATTTTATACTAAAGTTTTGCGTGAGTAGCGCGACGTATTGCGGCCGACTATTTTTCTTTTACCCCCCCACATTTACGCCCCTGATCATGTCCCAAAGCATCAACCAATCAAATTGTTTATCTCTGCTTACCCTAAGCAGAAAATGCTCTTCTTCAAACTCCATCAAGACATCAACATAATAAACACGTACACCAAGTTTGAAAATTCTAGCTCAATTAGAAAGAGAGTTATTGTGTTCCAAAGTCTCGACCAATCAAATTGCTTATCGCACTGCTTACCCTGAGCAAAAAATGTTCATTATCGAACTTAGTCAAGGTATTGATGTAATGAAACTATACAAAAAGTTTGATCACTCTCACTTAATTAGAACTAAAATTATCGTGTCCCAACGCATCAATCAACAATCAAATTGCTTATCTCTGCTTGCCCTAAGCAGAAAATGCTCATCTTCAAACTCTATCAAAGTATCGACCTAATAAACACCTACACCAAGTGTGAAAATTCTAGCTCAATTAGAAGGAGAGTTATTGTGTCCCAAAAAGTGTGACGGACGGACCGACTGACGGACCGACAGACCCATTTTAATAGTCCCCTGCTTTCTTCGAAAGGCGGTGGACAATAAAACTCACCCTTTTGCTGTGATATGAAAGTTATCTAAATCAAATTCTGTTATTTCTATGACCTGAAAATAAACATGTAACAATCTGATGCTGCACATTTAAAATATATGTTTTGTAAATATGTCTACAGTTTTCAACTTATAAACAGATTGAATACATGATTGGCAACGAAAATCTCACGGAAATTCATATCGCAACCAATCAGATTAACAGATGAAACTCTCATTGACATAGATTATAAATTTTCATTTTGCTTGTAAAACTGAGCAGGAGTTTCATTTTTGTATCTAACAGTATTCTCTTAAACTGTCATTGTCAAATGGTGGTCTTTATTCCTGCTTTAAATCTTGTTTTTATTATGCTTATCTTCCCTGCTGCCAAATGTCAAATACACAAAAATAAATGTTGTAACATACCCTAGGTATTATACATGGTTCAGCAGAAAATAAAAATAAAAATTCATCTAAAAAATGGAATAATAAGGACTCTAGATCATCACCTGAAATCATCAATAAAAAAAAATCGTACATACCACAGAGAGATACTATTTTTATTCACTTCAGATTACCTAAATGTACCTGGAGAAAAGCTACAAGAGAGAGAGAGAGAAATGGGGTTTAACGTCAACTCGACACAAACTAGGTCATTTCGGGACTAACATATGGTTTAATTTTATTTACATAATTCACTTGCGCGTAGGGGTCCTTAGCAGTGGGAGGAAACTGGATGACCCGGAGAAAACCCACGAAGTTGGACAAGCGACCCTACTCCTTGCCACGTACAACCGGGGATTCGAAACCACGCCAGTCGACTCAATGACAGGAAAAGCTACAAGGTATAAGTTGATAACCTTACTGCTTGTTACATACAACCATGGGATCTAACCCACGACACTTGCAACAATATCTAGACCTTTCAGCCAAAGTGGCGCTACTGAAATGGTCAGCCCTCTGTTGGACGTTATCTCTCCCAGGGTGAACCAACTGCAAAATCTAGGTCAGCATTGGAAGCAACATTGCAACAGGAGCACTGGAGAAAGATTCCACAAGCAGCCATTCAATGGCTTATTTCCTTCATTTGGAGACACTGCATGAAGTTGTGTGGCTGCTAGAGGTGAACCCATATGTTACCGACATTGGATTTTTTCCCATTGTTGGCTTTGTGCATACATTTTGACATTGTAAAGTTGTTCTGGTCTGATCATGGGGTGTTGATTTTCTTGAGTTGGGAAATATCCAGCTAACATGCCAAAAATAATTTTTAGCTAAATTATTGGTATGTTCAACAACACTTCCAGTCAGATCAATGGTGCATTTGAATGTTAAAGAGAATTACATGTATCTTACCATCTGCTTGTATTTCATGAACTGTTTTCATCTGAACCGAATCATAATCTGTTGTCATATAACCAAACATGGCAGTCCCTACCTACATATAAAATAACATTAACCATGTTTCTGCTAACACAAAAATAACATTTTCAAAATATTAATATGGAAGGGAAGTTATTTTAATGTTATGTGTCTCACAGAGGAACTTTTATTCAGTTGCTTTTGTATACTGATCTTCATAAAGTAGTCTTCACATTAAATGCTGATCTTACTATTCAAAAGTCCTTATTCCAGTTCTATTGTATGGAAGCTTATTAGTATCCCTTTGCTCTGTCTTGTTCCTCGCATTAACTATGAGATAACAGAACAAAGTCAAGTTGTCTAGTCAATTCTTAGCTTTCTGGAAGACGAAGGAGAGAAGTGATTTCACTTGGCCTTACTGTCTGTGTCTGATCTGTTATGTGCAATCCTATTATTCAAGCTTCAACTTTCGGCTTCTCTAGGACTATGCTTGACAGATATTAACTGGGACGATTAAGTGAAATCCCTTTTGCAGCTATTCAACTACTAAAGGATAAATCATTTCTATGTGCATGAAAAGCAGTAAAATATTTATACAACTCATATGTTGATCTCTCTACCTGTGCCTGTTTAAGAAAGCAACAATAGGAAAATATTACTTACCTGTTCAAATGATTCTTTTAAATCGTTACCCCCTGATTTATAGGTAAAGAATTTAAAGGGACAACATGTCATAATAAAAGTCAAATATAGAATTTACGAAAATACTCTTAACAAAAAAAATTGGTACCATACCAGAAATATGGCCACTGATAGTTTCCACCGACACCTTTATTCTTGTTTACTGGGGTTCTGTCATGTTACATATACATGTATAATATTCACCATGACTAGTAGAGAAATACTGAATCCAAATGGTTTGGTTGGTTCTAAACATGCAACATGTCTGCTGTTTAAAGCCGCAAAAGGCCAAAATATGGGTAAAATAAAGAGTTTCAGAGAGTCAAAAGCATTTTTATTAAAAATGATTCGAATCGATTAATTTTAATTTAAAATAATTGGGCTGCGTTTTTTGTACAACCATGTGTATTTTACATGATGGTCTTTTTATACTCAAATGCGTTTCAAAAAAGTACTTATAGATATGTACAGAGTAGGGTATTTCTTTCCAATAAAGTATGGAATATTTGGTATACATGGACAGTAGTGGCAGTCTGTCTGCTCGAGTAAAATAGACTTAAGCAGCATGTGGTAGTTTCCTACGATTAAAATGTATTGAGGGGATTTGAAGCAAACATTTGAAAAATTAAGTACTTAGTATGAATACGTTTTAGCCTACGGTAAATATATAATCAAATCAACAGTTTGTTTGCGTGTCTGTTAGATCATAAGGTCTGTTTTTGAGTCATTAAAAATGGCATGGGTTCGACTCCCCTCGTGTATGTGAGTAGGGTCGCCTGTCTAACCTTGTGGGTTTTCTTAAGGTCTATGCGAGAGTAAATTATTGAAATAAAATTAAATATGTTAGTCCCAAAATGACTTAGTTTGTATCGAGTGGGATGTTAAACCTCATTTCTAACCGCTGTCTTTACATTAAATATGTACTGGGAAAGGATACATGAATGTAATCTGTAAAATAAGCATTAAAAATATGTAAGATTTAGATAAAGAGCAGACTGTTCTTACTATTATAGTTAAAAAAATTGAAAAGGAAAAATGAGTACATATAAAATTTCAGTCAAATTACTCGTATCAGGCTTTAATGTGTTCAAAATATTGTCTCAATTGAAGCATTTGTCAAGTACCATTGTTACGTTACATGTAAATAATAAACTAAGTCTCAATTATCCATTTTTAAATTCAAATATTAAAAGGCGATCATGTTTCACTCAATTGAAAATCGCAACCATCCGATGTTCTAAAGAGATGATTATAGGCTGGCCAAGTGAATAAATAGTTAATTAATTATTTATATAACATTTGAGGCCAAAAGAAAGACCTGCAATAGGCAGATTTAACTCTTACATAATGTATCTTTAAAATAAAAGAAAATTCAGAAGAATATGTGTAAATACTGCTGTCTGACTAAAATTCTTCTCTCTAGTATTGCACACAAATAACATGTTATTCTGGACTGAAGTATTATGTTGATGAGATGTTAAAACTCGAGTCCACTTATTTAAGAACTGTAGTTCCAAAGAATTAACAGGAAACAGGTGTGATCAAATACTTACTGAACATCTGCTGTGTGATCTAAATCTGGAAATAAAAATAAATAAACAATAAATAAGTTTGGTCATTCAAGTTGTTTAATAAATGTTGCCATATTTGAATGCTTCAAAAACAGCTTGATGGATTTGTGAACTTTATGTAGGGTAATAAATGTACACCAAGCAACAATAAATGGGTGAATAAAATGGGCCGGGTTTAACGTCCTACTTTTCTGCACCAGTCAAACGATGACGAGCATACACCATACAGTGAAGGGTGAAATTTTGCCGGGACGGCAATTGACTTCCAAGTTTTTACGTACACTATCTATACACAGGACACAGGTTTTCCGTTCCATCTGAACGACTGGATCCTCTTCCCTGCAAAGCGCGCACTGGCTTTCATTGTTTTTCTGCAAACTGTCAAGGGTTCTTTTACGTGCACGCCAATGTGTACACAGGACCTCGGTTTTTCATCCCATCCGAATGACTAGACAGCTGTTCTTGTGAGGCCCTCCTTTGCGCATGATCACTGACAAGAGGGAATCTGTGCCTGACAGGTGCCTTATTTTTAGGTTTGAATCCAGCAAAGTTTTAAAATCAATATTATGTGAATTTACCGAAAGGAATGAACATGAATGGTTGGATGGTTTCGAGTCTGTAATTTTCTTTCGTACTGGAGTACCCTACATATATAATTGAAACACCTTTATTTTATAATGCTTAACTACAATTTAATTTGCAGAAGGAAAAAAGTTAATATTTGCGGCCCATTTTAGGGCACATCGATGTCAACCCTGTCAGTGACTGTGTAGCGGACTAGCGAATATTCACTGCTGATCAGTGTGACAGTATACGTATGGCTTAGGTTCCACAAAATTTAGTTACACACGTGTGTTTACTAGCTCTGCCTTACATTTTTGTTATCAGATCAATGTCGACATATTAAAATGAAAGTAGAATCTTCATCATGTTCTCCTATTATTACTCACACTCATATTTTATTTCTGGTATTTTTGGTTCTTCACCGGGCATGATAATTACGCCGGCATCTTCTTCATCGTATCCGTAATCGCCTTCTTCCTCCATATTTGTTTACCTTCGATAACGTCCTAACTCCCGGTTAACCAGTTACGTAAAGAGGAAGAAAAAAGGTCTGGACAATTTTGACTATGTTTGGCGACCGGAAGTTCTGTCGGTGAATTACAATTTCTAATGCAATAATAGGTAAGATTATTTTGAAACGAAATACTCTACAACCCGTTGTGCAACCAAAATAAACGGAAATAACCAATGACGCATATATATTAATATATATACGTCATTGGGAACAACACTTGGAGCTTTCCGGTGTCTTTTTTTTTTTTTAGCTTTGGAAGGCTAACATGGTAAATGCTAGGGAAAACGAGGATTTCATTCAGTCTTTTTCTCTTTATACGAAACGTAGGCTATTCTTGAATGTCACTCTTGTTGTAAGTTGTACATAACATTCGTAACCAATTACTGATTTTAAACTAGGTCAAAATTATTTTTTTCTGACGATATAACTGCGCTGTAGCAGACGATGTCAACCTCGCACACAGTCCAGTACACGTCGACCGCCGTATAAATTTACTTAATAAGATGCATTCCATATATTTTTGTATATTGGTATGTTTTGTATGTATACTGTTCCTAATGGACGTAATATGCAAATAAAAAAAGTTGAAATTTGAAAGTTGCTGTATGAAGCCGATTTATAGGTTTTAAAATTTTGTGTTAATTTACTGAAAACAATTAATAGATATTAAACATCTGTTTAGGTGTAAAATGCCAGGAAATAGAGCATTAGAGTTAGAGAGGTGACCTGCGGTTCCACGAAAGAAATCAAGACAATTTCAAAATTTACACGGCCGTAGCACATCTTAAAAAATATAATAATAAATTTGGAAATAAAAATAATTCCGTATAGGATACATCGAAGCCAGTTATATATTTTTATTCAACAGTATTTCTGAACCAAATACTGAATATGAATTTTTGATAAAATGGGACACTTATGTGTCGTTCTTGGTTGCGACGATGGATATAGATAAAACTGATCACTGGATTAAAATTTCACCGAGTGCCAAAAGCTGAACCAAGACGACCGGTTACAAATAAATAGCAGAAAAAACTCAAACAGGTTTTAAAAAAAAAATATTCACTGATTCGACATAATCAGTCATCAGTTTATTATGTCTGTTATTCAAATTCCATCAAGATAAAATTTTACAAAAAAAAATAAAAAAATAACAAAAATGGCGGAATTTTCGCTCCGCGCACCAAACAACTATAATTTTATCATTGGTTAGAGCCGTTTAAACGCGGGAAAATCGACAGTAGCTATTGGTTTAAAGGACAATATTGGTGTCAGTCATTATAAAATATGTGATAGAGCTCGTTAAATACATCCCAAATATAATTTTAACACAGAGATCATTGCTACGGGAGTTGTGTAACAAGCACGTGAAGAAACGGGAAATGACGTCAAACATGACAAACATGAGTTGTCCTTCTATATAACTGACTGAAGTAACGAGCGGTAACAGACAAACGATCGAATATTATTTCACTGATAAATCCGTTGAAGATGAAATGTTGTTATATGAGACGATGAGAGGATATCTGACAATTCAAAAAATGAATTGGCTGTCAGTAGATAAAAGATAACGAACAAATTAGAAAAAGTCCGTGCATTACCATGTTTTTATTAAGAACAGAATGAATAAAAACGGGGGAATGCACGGGATTTTTCTACTTTTTCTCGTGTCCCTTATCTAGTGACAGCCAATTCTATTTTTGAATTGTGAGATACCCTCTCACCGTCCCATATAATAACTTTTCAACTTCAACGGAATTATCAGTGAAATGAAATTCGATCGTTTGTCTCTTACCGCTCGTTACTTCAGTCTGTTATAATAGAAGGACAGCACGTGTTTGTCATGTTTGGCGTCACTTCCCGTTTCTTCACGTACTTGTTACACGTCTCCCGTAGCAATGATCTCTGTGTTAAAATTATATTTGGAATGTATTTAACCAGTTCTATCACATATGTAATAATGACTAACACCAATATTGTCCTTTAACAGCATCACGAATGCAAACAATCTTATTTGCATACTGCATACTTTAAAATATTGGCTGGAATTATTTTTAGATCGACAACCTCAATGACCAACATGTAGTACCGTATAATAGAGTACTGACAGGGTACCTGTAGCATGCTAATTACCAGACGATATATATCACCCTAACACGTAGCCTACCCATGGGTCGGCCGTTGAATGTAAATTAAATAGGATTTTACATTGTTTAATTGTCCTGCAATTAAAGTAGCTATATAAAGTCTCTAACTCAATATCATCCAAAGTTTTCGACATTGAAAACACGATTTTGTCAATTTAAATCAACATTGATGTTGTGATCTTACCGGGAAAAGATGGGCTTCTGATATCTAATGTTTAAGACAAAATAAACATTTTACCATTGGTACACGAATTGTGTTCCATAATGCGTTTCAGCGCCATTTGTAACAAGGGACTCGAAGAACGAGGCTAGACATTCCACAAGTCGTGTCAAGCGGTGACGTCATGTTCTTATCTTGAAGCATGCGCAATAAATATTATTGGTGTAGACTGGAATAACCAGACGCTAGAGATTGCCATTCGATTGAGACTGCTGGCGTATTTCACCGAACATAAATGATTTGAAATTAGAGTAAAAACGGAAACGATTGAATGTAAATCAGTTTATATACATTCATATTACATTATTATATACGTTGCGACCCATTTGTGTCAATTTCTAGGTCCCAAATATTGGCGATTTAGCTCCTTAAAATTTCTAGGAGGGGCTATATCACCGACCCGCACCCTATAGAAATTCTAACTCCGTCACTGAAAAGAGCTGGAATGATTTGACGTTGATTTATAGTCCATGTTATTCACAGATGCGTCCCCTAAACCTGCATGCTTCATATCTTGAAGCATGCGCAATAAATATTATTGGTGTAGACTGGAATAACCAGACGCTAGAGATTGCCATTCGATTGAGACTGCTGGCGTATTTCACCGAACAAAAATGATTTGAAATTAGAGTAAAAACGGAAACGATTGAATGTAAATCAGTTTATATACATTCATATTACATTATTATATACGTTGCGACCCATTTGTGTCAATTTCTAGGTCCCAAATATTGGCGATTTAGCTCCTTAAAATTTCTAGGAGGGGCTATATCACCGACCCGCACCCTATAGAAATTCTAACTCCGTCACTGAAAAGAGCTGGAATGATTTGACGTTGATTTATAGTCCATGTTATTCACAGATGCGTCCCCTAAACCTGCATGCTTCATAATTATTTCCTACATCTTTATCACTTTTTAGATAGTTCTGTCCATCGAGCTAGAAATAAGTGCCCTCTCTGAAGTCGACATAACCAACACACTTGAACTACCTTTATCCCCCCCCCCCCCCTTCTGTTGTCAACGCAAAATGACTGGGATACGAATTGCCACTGACTGGATATGGTTCGTTAAGTTCTTATCGATTAATGGCGAGCTTTTTGTTCAATTTGTTTACATAGATTATCCAGTGCGAGTTATCTGCCGATGCAAACACAACAGACAGTCGATAGTAATATTTCAACACAATTTGACTTGAAAGAGAGCAACCATGGTAAGGCATATTTCTTCTTTTTTTGATTTGTGATGGTAGGATTTCTGCCATGATAATACGCTATTCAGTCTATAAGTTTCACTGGACTATATTATATAGCCTACTAATGTTGTTTGGCAATATCACTGAATAGACCTTCGTCTAAACCTGTACTACGAGTGTCGATAGATTATTGGTTGTCCAGGATATGGGGTTTACGCTATCGATGTCTAATTACCGAGGGCTCTTTTACGTGCACGTCAGGGTGTACAGGGGTGGACCTCGGTTTTTAGTACAATCCGATAGACTTGACACACTTACCTTATCTTATCTTACCTGTCCTGCAGTCCAACTTTGTGTTTAGTCTAGGCTGCAGATTTATAAATGCTAATTTTATTCATGGTTAAATTAGAAATACATATTCCGATTCTTTACCACCTCTGGATTTATCTAGATTGCATAGTTTAGGTCCTCACAGTCCGCATGGGTCTTACAAAATTCATTTTTTTAAACATCTTGTGGGATATTTTAACAATGGGTCTATAAGCTATAATCGGGTCCTCACAGTCCGCAAGGGTCTTCCAAAATTCAGGTTTTTTTAATTATGCCTAGATATTTTTAAACATGTTATGGAGATCTATAAAGGCCATGTTGGGATAACATTTTAACAATGGGCCTATATATCCTATAATCCGACACTACTATTGTATGAATTTAGAATAGGACTAACGATTCAAATACCGACCATTCAAACACACTCCTAAGATACCTTCACTCAATGTCAACTCCGCTGTCTGTCATTGTTATCGGAATTTTCAGTTTTCGTGAATATAATCCCCATTTGAAAATTCCATACCTCGCATTGCCACGTAACCTTAGATTTACATTGTGGTTTTCGATGGTCAGCGGCACGGGGAGTTTAATGCGGACTGGCAAGGAAAAGGCGTCTAGTCATTCGAAATGGACGAAAATCGAGGTAAACATAGGCTCATTGGTGTGCACGTAAAATAAACATTGACAGTTCGAATTCGATGAAGAGGGGTACGAAAACGGCCACTATCCGGTCAAAATGTCCCACGCAACACACCGTATAATTATGCCCGTATTTATTACCCCGGGGGTGACTATAAGTAAGTGAGAAAGGCCGGGCCCATTCAGGTGATGTGCGAAGAAGGTTCCTGGTTTGCCAGTCGTGCAGGACGGAGGGTCTGGCAAGGAAAAACGTCGAGTATTTCGGATAGTACGAACCCCGAGGTACCGTGTGCACCTTAGAGTGCACGTAAGAGGACCATTTTGGAGTCGATGAAGAGCAAAATGAACCAAATACCACTCATAGCACACTGTATGTGTGTATCCGTCTTCAGTATCAAGGTTGGTGCAGTAAAATAGGACTTTAAGCCCCAGTTTATTAGCCCAACTAGCGTAGAAAAATAGGACCTTGAACAACAGTTACTTTATTCATTCATTCATTCGTCTCAAAATGATCGTTGGTTCGTTCATGGGATTTTACATCCGATTCTACCTTGGGTGATATCGCAGACAAGGCACCCCCCCCCCCCCAAACAAACAATAACCCAATTCCATTCAACTATATAAGGGATATAGAATATACACAGTCTTAAAATCTAACGTGAGTCCTAGCTAGGTTTCAGAAATATGCAGTCACTGTACTGAATCAATAAAGGAGATCAATTTACATCAACTATTTATAACTGGTAATCTAACCTACAGAAATATTATCCAGTCCTAACAATAATGTTGACTAGTTTCTAGGCGACTGAAGACACACGTAAAAACCTTCCCTCAATTTTTTGAACAATAGAATACAATTTACAACTGTCTAATAATAGTGGCAGATTTATTAGACTGTGTGGAAATGTGTAAATAAGTAGCCAACATACATACCTACATGTGTATTCCGCCAATGCTAGTCATTAAAGGGGCAGCACACATACATATACGACACTTTTTGTTCTAATGACATCTGCACGTAAACGAAATATTGAAATAAATGTATACCTTTTGTTAGTCAAAGATTTTATTTTGATTTTGAATTAAGATGTTGTCTACATTAACTTATTATATTTGAAAGTACGATAGTATATTATTTGTAATGACTATTATTTGTACTTTTAAAAGTAGTTCTCAAGCTTAGGCAGGCGATCGACACTGCTCCTTGCGGGATCGAACCCGTGACTTGCATTGGCCACAGTCTAATAATACACCGCGCTTTACTACTCGGCCAACCGAACCCCGTCTATGTGTTGTATGAAAAAAGAACTTGGAGAAATGCAGGGACATGAAAATCAATAAAAATAAAAATTCCAATTTATATAAAATTTACCGTTAACAATTTTAACGCCAAGACAGTAAACATATACCATTATAGGCGCAATTAGTTGACTAGAATGCGAAAATTCGTATCCTTGGCGCTGTCTCCCTGCCGCTACTGTATCTAAAAGTAGCGGAACCAGAACAGAGTCCATAACACACCAGTTTTAACCACCGATCTTTGAGTTTGAAAAGAAGAAGGAAAGAAACTATGCCTGTTTTGGACATCCTAAATAATTTGTCTGTTTTTGAATAATTTGTCTTCATCAAACAGACCATGACCATACTATTTATTTTCTTAAATAGAAATGTCTCTTTACATAGTTCAAGAACACGAGTTTTCAAACCTTGGAGTATGTATTATATTTTTATAATGGTTTACAGCGTTTTAAATGGCTTGTATTAAACGACCTTTGTTTTTTCCCGTTTTCAGGCATCAAAACAAGAAGAAGAAGAAAAATTAAAAGGTAAGCAAGTATTTGTTTACATATTTAAACTTTTGAATATTTATGGACAGGGTTGTGTATGATTTTTATTTGTTATTATTATCTATCCACCCCACCCCACCTTTCAATAAACTCTCCACCCCACTCGGTCCGTCATTTTTTATAACTTTCAGTAGATCACAGAAGCACCACCCTCCCATCCTTCACACCTCTTTCTGTAAACCCCCAAACCCTTTTAATAATCCTGATATACTACTGGTCTTGCAGTGACGTGTTTAAGGATAGCATCTCTACCCAACCTTCGCGCACTCAATGTCGACCTCGACCATTTCCTACAATCAATCCAGATGGATTACTTATCAACTTAGTGATTTGAAAATATCTTTAGATCTCCCACACCTTCCAGTTGGCAACAGTTTCATAGTTTAGCTGTTATATTTTTCAGTATGGAAGGAAGTATTCGATCTTTTTGATACCAATAAAGACAACCATATCTGCACCACGGAACTAGGGAAAGTTTTACGAGGATTAGATTTAAACCCAACAGAGAAAGAACTAAATGAAATACGAGATCAGTTGGATACAAATAGTAACAATCTAATTTAAATTATATCTTTCTTTCATTTTGCCTTAATTGTTCTGATTTTCTCCACTAAGTGAAATGAAATGAAATGGAATGGGTTTAACGTCCTACTGTTCTGCTCCGACTGGGCACACGCCACACAGTGTGCCATGAGGGAAAATTTCCCCCGACAGTGGCGCTACGGCATACTCTTTAATCGAATTCCAGCTGTCAATGGATCTTTTACGTGCACAGCAATGTGCAAACGGGACCAATGTGCAAACGGGACCATCCAAAGGACTATACGCTATCCTTTGCCAGGCCCTCGGCCCTGCACCACTGGCAAGGGGGAACCACGCCGGAAAATCCCATGAACACGGGGGACCTCCAGGTTAGCGAGTTAACTTCTTACTCACTGAGCCATCGTGGCTCCTCTCAACTACGCAGCCTAAAATATATCGTATACTTAGAACGGTTGCCGTTTAGACAGTACATATGAAATACGGAATATAACCCCCCCCCCCCCCGAAAAAAAAAAAATAAATAAATAAAATAACCAACTAAAACGAACTAAAAACCATCTGATTTTTTGTCAGTTTAAAATACCTTGTTCCATTTAAGAGCTTACAGCAACACAAGGCAGGGTATTACATGTACAAGCAAAATATCAAAACTTTAAACAAATAGATTGTGCCGAGGCTGATGAGCCGCGCTGAATCAAGTTTACGACAAAACAACCGATTGTTGGCGAAAGAAGTTTATATTTTCAATATTTATTTGAACAGAAAATAAAGTTATTGAATTTGATGAATTTGTTGGATTGATGAAGAAAAAACAAAGAACTAGAGAAGATGAACAGAATGATATGTTGCGGGCTTTCAAGTAAGTTATCGTTTAATTCATCACTAGTGTTTCATGTTAAATTCTTAATTCATCACTGGTGTTTTCAAGTAACACCCTTTAATTCATCAGTAGTGCTTTCAAGGGAAAATCCTTTAATTATTCAATAGTGTTTTCAAGTGAAAATCCTAGTGTTTTCAAAAAAGTCATTCTTTAATTCATCACTGGAGTTATCAAGTAGAATAACCTTTAATTATTCACTAGAGTTTTCAAGCAAACTTTCCTTAAACATGCATTATGCAAGAGCTAAATCTGCAGGCCTTTCTTTAGGCCTGAAATGTTTTCTAAAGTATTAATTCGACATTAATTAACTGATCCAGGCCTTACTCAAGTCTCGGTGGCATCAAATTTCTCCGATATTAAATAGATTAAAATGGTTCAGCGATATTTTGATTTAATCAAATATGGAGGACCGATACTTAGCTTCGATCAACCAGTACAGTGGTTGAAATTATTGCACACGTCTGTCAAACCTTCAAAGGCTAACATCTTCGCTTGCAATAGAGTAATTTGAATGAAATTTTCAAATTATTCATTTTACATCATCTACTTTCGAACTATTATAGCAAGAATGGCTAGTTCTTTATCTAATGATACATAATGCATCTTTAAATTATTCACTTGAGTTTTCAAGTAAACTACCCTTAAGTTAATCACTAAAGTTTTTAAATAAACTACACTTTAATTATTCACTAGAGTTTTCAAGCAAACTACCCTTAAATTATTCACTTGAGTTTTTAAATAAACTACACTTTAATTATTTGCTAGAGTTTTCAAGTATGACATCCATTAAATTATTCACTGAACTCATCACTAGAAGTTTTAGGTAAGATATCCTTTAATGACTGGATACCCCACCCAAACACTCCAACGCAATCCAACCCGGACCATTCAGTTATATCCTAGCTTTGGTATATATCATTATTGTTGACTGTAAATCGTGACAGTACCAATCTTATTGAACAATAGTAGATGATGACAGTTATTCATTTACTGTACTGTATTTTAGGATACTAAATCGTGACAGTATTGATTTATTACATTTTAGGATTGAACTCATTATATTATGGCAGTACTAATTTTAATCATATTTTAGGCCAGTAGATCGAGACAGTAATAATTTTGTTATGTTTTAGGACCGTAGATCGGGACAGTAATTTGTTATGTTTTAGGACCGTAGATCTGGACAGTAATAAATTTATTATGTTTTAGGATAATTATCGTGACAGTAATGATTTTAATTATATTCGCTGTAATAATTTTTATTATATTTTAAGATAGTATTTCGTGATAGTGATAATTTCTAATTATATTTTAGGGTGGATCGGGACAGTAATAAATTTATTATGTTTTACGATATTGTATCGTGACAGTAATGATTTTAATTATATTCGCTGTAATAATTTTTATTATATTTTAGGATAGTATATTGTGACCGTGATAATTTTAATTATATTTTAGGATAGTGGATCGCGACAGTAATAATTTTATTGATAAATACGAGTTAAAACGACTGATGACTAAACTGGGAGAAGCTTTAACAGAAGAACAAGTGGATTTAATGATTAAAGTTGGAGATTTAAACCGAGATGGTAAAATAGATTATAATGGTAAGGTTTATTTCTAGACTTTGGTACGGTGTGAATGTGTATGAACTTAAATATGGCTAAGGAAGACATGCATAGGCCATGCATTGGGCTATTCGAAAAAAAATGCGGTTTCGCCTACACATCATCGGATTCCAACTGTCAAGGGTTATTTTACGTGCATACTAACGAGTACACGGACGAGCCGCTGATTTTGGTTACAACCGGCCGCCGGTCAGGTCCTTCGCCCTGCACCACTAACAAGGAGAAACCAGACTCGAAAATGCCAAGGAACCTTCTTCAGCCCCTCCAACAAAAGGCTTCAGCCATTTGTGTGTCTTTTCGGAATGAGGAAGGCTGAATCATTGTGCAAATCTTTCCAATATAGGCACCAGCATCATAGGAAGTAATTGGGTCTATTGTCGTTAATGCCTAGGGACAAACAAATAGCAAAAGAATCCAGGGATCACCCCCCTATGTCTTAGATTGCCACAGGTAATGCACCATAATCCCGGTGTTTATTAGCAAAGTTAAAAAACAATAGTGATTATATTTAGACGGAACACATTTAGTGTAACCAATTATTAAAACATATTAAATCATTCAATGTCCTGAAAAAGAATCTGAAATATGTCTTAACCTAATTTTTGATGGAAGAATTTTTTAAACAAATTTTTGACGCTTATATTTTCAGAGTTTGTGAAGTTTTTGTTACAGCCATGTCTGTAGTGGAAGTCGTCTGCTCAATTACGTCATAGATTAATTTTAGTATAGTTGTTATTTTATAAGAGCATATTATGTCTCCAATGGAGAGTCTTCATAAATCCCTGTACTTCTGTAGTTCTGCTCACCTCCACATTAAAACATTACTTTAATTAAGAAACAAATGTCTGCTTTTATTAATTTAAAAAGCTTAAAATACTCACATCAGTTTAAAATTGCACTTTGTTCCCCAACACCAAGGATTTTGAACTTTGACCTCATCATGACCATTCATTTCTTGCCACAGTTCTAGTTCACTTGATGATAAAGGTAACAAATAATTGCATAAATACATTTTTATGTCGCATTATATTTCGTCGTCACAGTTTTTAAATTTTGCCCTTGTATTCGCATTAATTTAATGCATTCTGTTTGCGGGGGGGGGGGGGGGTATTTCACAATCTTTTAAATTATCTCGTTCACCTTTGGAGCACCCATATAGTATATCTTTAAAATGTTTGTCATCACAAAATGCGTGATATAAATATTAATTGACTATCTCGATTTTTCTATGTTGCAATTTGTTGCTAAATCAAATCAGAAATTTTATTATTCTTATTCAATATTTTGAAAAATAATAATAGAAATACGCACAAAATATTTGTATTACACAATTCGGCGTGTAATTGTATTTCTGACAAGGCCAATTATGTCATATTATGATGATTTTCAAATTTGATTTAAAGATGCATTAAATTTAAGAAATCAGGGTTATACGTTTTCTGTCATAGTTCTTTTGTAGTTGCCTCCCCTAGTTGATATTATATATAAATTATTTGTATATAATACACTGTCATGTTTAAAATTATTATTGTAATAAAATACACGATAAAATATTTGTTTGCTACAGTATATATTACAAACGGAATGGAGTTTGGTTTAACGTCTGGTCAACACAATATTTCTGTCAGTTTCATCAAGACTTATAGTAATTTATATTCAACCGATACCTCTGCTATTTAAATTTCGTGCACGCCATTATTGACGGAAGGGGTTCCTAGTGTCTATTCCCGACCAAAGGATTATGCACCCAGTCCTTATTAACTTTCCAGTTATCAACCCAGTTATAGACTTGTTGTAGAGTCCGAGTGATTTCTTAAAAAAAAAACCATTCTGCTGTAAACCTACTTTATCACCCATTAATACATTCTACAGTAGATATCGCTTGTGTGACAAATTTCATAATCTACTGCGATATCTCCTTAGGAGATATCACTTTACATGAGAACAGTTCATTTTTTTTTAAAGTAACTTCTTTCTTATTAAAAAGGAACTATTTTTATTTAATTGACCTTGGTGGAAACACTGGGTCAATATAAAGGACTTTGCAATGGTTGAATTGCTGTCAAAAAATGATGTATCACTACGCCATAATGCAATCAGGTTCAGTAAAAAAGTGACATCTATAACAAGGAATTACATTTATTTATTTGTGCATGTAAGAAGGGATTGGGTGATAAATAAAATCTCCTGCTCGTCTTTTTTGATATCAAAAAATATCAACACTCCTTGATAAAGTAGAGCTTCGGTTTTTTTTTTACTTTATCGACTTGTGTTGATATTTTTTGATATCAAAAAAGACTCGTAGGAGGAGATTCTCCATATGAACACCAACACGTGTTTGAGGTATAGGTTCAACGCGGCGAGAATATGCATTCACTTTGATTCACTCACTCAATTCGTTTGTCACCTCCCTATCTGGTTGGTTATAAACCTGTAACGGTAAATCTCTTTGATCTTTGGGGTATATTCTATGCCCGGAATAACTTGCGGTCTGAAAGTCGGGGGTTGTTTTGGATATATTTGGGGTTATTCTTCTGAAAGTTTTTCTTTAAACCTGTAACGGGTTATTCTTTCTCGAGTTATTTTCTTCAGTCTTTCTTTCCCCAGCATAACCTCAGTCTCGTGCTTTATCCTACACATAGGCTAGTGATTTAGCGAGGCGATATATGGGCAGCTATATTCATCTCGACGATCAGTGCCTGAAATACAACCAGACTGCATTACCGACAGTCTATTTTCGGAGGGATGCCTCCAGCTAAATTGAGGTTCGCCAAAGTTCTCCTTTCCCAAGTAAAGCACCCAGCTGAAAAATTGGCGAAGGGCTATAGTACAGAGGGCATTAGCACCCCACCCCTTTTTTGACAGAAGAAACATAAAGTCATTCAGAGTGCCTCATTCATAATAAATACGATCGGCCAATCTAATTTAAACTACTTTTCTCTTTATTTTTATTCAGATATTTTGTTTAGATATTGTGTTGAGATAACGCGAAGTTACTGACTGATCAATTAGTCTGTGTGAATTGTGGGGAAGTATAATATTGGAATGATACCATGTGGTTCAAGTGTTATAACGAAATGAAATGGGTTTTAGCGTCCTGTTGTTCTGCTCCGACGGAGCTAAAGAAGGTGGGCATACGTCAAGCATTGTGCTATAATGTTAGATCGGATTCCAACTGCCAAGGGATCTTTTACGTGCATGCCAATGTGTACACGGGATCTCGGTTTTTCGTCCCATCCGGACGATAATACGTAGCCTCTTGCCAGAACATTCAGGTTAGCGAGCCAACATCTTAGTCACTGAGTCACTACGGCTCGTAAGTGTTATAACTTTTTGGAAAACGACTGTCTGATACAATCACAATTCTTGTGATTACAGAAAGTTTGCTTACGTTAATGTATTCCACAATGAACAAGTAAACGAAACGAAATTACAATCTACTATTCATTAGTTTTAGAATGAACGGGATAAAAAGTTCACAAATGGAGATAATATTTGTATATTTAGAATTAGTGTTTAAGACATTTCCTCTGCAATATTACATTATTGGTTACTGAGAAATAGGCCATAATAATTGTGTCCCCAAAGATTTTCTAAATATACTGACATACATCTGGCGAGAAAATAAGGGCAATTAAATCATAATTTAAATAGAATACATTATACAGTTACTATCAGGTTAACTGTCGTTGTGATTCTTGTAGTTAAAGGCCCAATATGCCCGAATAAATGCTACACATTGAGCCAAAGACCATCAAAACCACTTTTAATAAAAAAGGCCACAATATTTTGGTCCATAATCTATTCAAACCGAATATAACTAAGTGAAGTTATGGCCATTTGTAGCTTCCGTTGAATTCAAGCGGCCCCCGGTGTATGTTTTAAATAAATATAGGAATAACAATTCTGCTGTCCTATTTGTACCAGCCAGGCCATTCTTCGCAAATGATTTCTTAAGAGTACGATAAACTGTATTCATTGTTTTGACTCAAACTGTGTGTGAAATAGCTTTATTTAACGTCCGATCGAAAACTAAAAAGCTTTAACACTTTTGATATCTCCTAGAATGGGTTTTACTGAGAAATTAAGATTGCATTCGTCTTACCTGACGATGTATCTTTAAAAAAATACAAAAAAAAAAAAAAACGATAAACAGAATAATTAAATAACTTGGTCTAATCTCATGCAACCCCAGATTTGATATTGTATGGCTTTACCTGACCCTACATGTTTTATCATTATTTATGAAATGGAGATATTGTGCTAGGTTTATTAACGACTAGTATTTATAATCTCCCCTTACCTACACCAAATAAACAGCAAACCTAATAATTAAACAACTTGGCCTAATCTCATGCATACCCACAATTTCTTATTATAGTTCTTCAACTAGACCTACAACTTTATCGTACGACAATTAAAGACTTTTCTACTACACAACACTACTTCTCTCCGCCATTTATAAACAACTTGGTAACTAAGCAAGCCAAATGTAAAGAAAAGAAAAAGGTCTGTGGATTTATAGAGCAGTGATATCTATTTATATTATCGCCATTAGAGACAAGATTTAAAACTTGAAAATTATTTCTAGACGATCAGTGTATTAACAAATACGATATTAAGTCGGACATTGTGATATAAAACTTTTTAGAGGATCACAAATTTTCTTTTTATAATCTCACAAAATTTTCCAGACAAGTTTTGACAGAGTTTGGTTTGAACTTTATCTCAGCAACCGCAATGGTAAGTTATCATGTTAATCTTTTAACTGGGTTTTAATCTGACATAGTGGATTATTGGTTGGAACAATCTCTCTTAATCATGATGATTAAAGTCTTAAAGAAGAGAGAGGGGACAAAGCGGATAATTGAAATCCAATAATCGTCCATAATCTCTCATATGAAGTGTGTACTGTGTATTTCAAGTTTCAAGTATTAAATACCATTGAACCAATTTATAAATTAATATGAACCATTGGTCACGAAATGGGAAGGGATGGTGGATGGGAGAGTGGGGCAGAAGTTTAGGTTCAAAACTTCTATATGGGTAAGGCCATAGTACTTGTACACAGAAATGCGTCCTGGTTACAAGCTGCAGTTAATTGTGCAGTTAATAATGTACTCAATAAATAAATGTTAGACCCGGGTCCTGTTTCACGAAATTGTAACTAATGATAAAATCCAAATTTTAGTATATATTTAAATTTTGATTGGCTACGCACTAAAATCAATCTAATATTGACCAATCAAATTACTTAAATTTGGATTTTATCTTAGTTAAAATTTCGTGAAACAGGCCCCAGGTCTCTGTCTAAGATCACAGTGTCATGATAATTATAAGCAATACCAAAGCCTGTGTTTGAGATGTGATAATATAGAGTATGTATTACTGATCCACCCACATACACCCACACCACCCCACCCCGTAACCACACACCCCAAAAAATATTTGATTTAACAAATACATAGCTTATGTAAGATAAATCACAATGTTTCAATTAATGAACTAATGAATGAATGTCGACGTAAAAATATTTTATTTACAGTTTATTCCTTATGCCTTAAACAAACGGATGAATGAATAGTTGGTAAAGTTAATGCATGTTTAGAAAAGGAATAAATGATTAATACAAATAACACAGCTATATTTACTGTGACTTAATTAGAAAGATGACCTTTGCTAAATTATTTATTTATTTAATTAAGATTCTATAAGAAGATACGGTCATATGAAAAAAAATGAAGTAGCTGATTTTTCAGTTGAATTATCGCTCTATTTATATATAAGTTGTGGTGAGTGTTGCGCACGAGGCAGGGTATGATGTTTCTCTGCATATTAAACAGTATTTTATATACTTTCATCAGATTTTTATATCTGATTTTATTAAGACCACTCGCCTACTTGGTGTTAACTTTTATCGATGGCAATTTGTTTGATGTACTTTAGTATTCATAATAACACAACTTTATGGTTTTACCATGTTTCAATTAATAAAGCTGTGTACTTTTAAATGTTAAGAAGGTCCCGTGTATACATTGGAATGCACGTAAAAGATCCCTTGGCAGTTGGAATTCGATATAAGAGTAGGCGATAGTGCCGCTGCCCGGGCAAAATTTCCCTAATAGCACACTGTGTGGCGTATGCCCGTCTTCATTAGCCCAGGTTAGGAGCAGAACAGTAGGACGCTAAACTCCATTTCATTTCATTTCATTTCATTTTAAATGTTAAGAATATTGATATATTAATCCTGCTACAATAACATATTATATCACAGAGAGAGAAAGAGGGTGTTAAAACGTCACACGACTCTAACTATATATATGATATATATGGGAGGGGGGGGGGCGTACCTCCCAGTGCCGCCGAGTAATATTAGGCTGTGTGGAACATGCGAGAGTCAATTTGTAGCATATCTGACCCACATTATATGTTTAACATTGGTTGAGCCTTATGATTATGATTATAATGTTGAAAACCGCATTGAAACCGTGTGAGTTTTTGGTATTTGCGAGGGGACGCGAAAACTCAAAACCATGACGCAAAGCTTGTCATTGCCCCCCTCTCACTTAGCCCCTATACGTATATTATTATATCGGTTGAATGGGACTGTACACTGTACACGTTAGCGTAAATTTAAAAGAGAATTTGGCAGAAGAAATTGTGATCCCTGTGGCCCGTTTGGCTCTCCCAGTAAAATAACGACACAGAATGGAATTAACCATGACATTAACAGTTAATTTGTGACCCGACCTTTAAATCGCGAGATTGTCGTATCACTTTAAGCCAAATCAATACTCAATCAGAATGTTAATAAAAAATATATACCCGTGACCGATTGAATGAATTTGTATTGCAGAATGAAATTCTATACATACTATACTATACATGCTATTGTGTTTAATATTTTATGTCCCCAATATCAAAGATTTACTGAATAAAAAGATCAATAAAAATTGCATGGTGTTACAATCAACATGTTTTCCTTTCCTGGTGTAAATATTTTAAAAAGCCAACATGAAAGAAATGTAATTTAATGTATAGTCAAAACAATAGGCCCTATCAATGTAATTTTGAGACTAGATGTTTATTTTGTTCTAGTCAATATCGATAGATCCTGAGAGAGAGAGAGAGAGAGAGAGAGGGGGGGGGGTAACGTCCACTCATCACATACTAGGTCAATTCGGGACTAACATATGGTTCAATTTATTTCAATAATTCGCTAAGGCATAGGGTTATGTAGCAGTGGTAGGAAACCGGAGGACCCGGAGAAAACCCACGAGAATGGACAGGCGACCCTACCCCTTGTCACGTACAAGCGTGGAATAGAAACCACGCCACTTGACTCAATGACAGGCCGTATGATCAAACGCGCACGCGTTAACCATTCGGCCACCCAACCCCCAGTCAATATTGGATTGCAGACATACTAACAGGTTATTTTTCGTGGGCGCCAATGTATAAACGGGTGAATCGAGGGCTATTTGAAATAATGTAATTTTACTACCGTTATTTTCAAAAATTATTATCATTATTGCATTGTTCGAAGTCAAACAGCGTTTGGAAAACAATGCTCTTTTAGAGCATGAACGTACGTTTCGATTCGTTATCCCGTGCACTTAAAAAACACTTAACAGTTGGAATTCGAAATACAAGTATTCCGTATTTGCCGAACTAGTCCGGGGAAAAAAATTTCGCATTGGACGCTACATGGTGTATGCCAGTCTTTATTAGCCCAGTCGGCGCAGAAAAGTTGGACGTTAAACACCATTTCATTTCATTTAATCCAGTAGTTAATGATATGAAATTCACTGGTAAAAACCCCATTATAAATAAATCCTATTAATTAGGCACTGCTTGACTTAGTTATTTGTTCCCGTCTTCATTACCCAGTCGGAGCAGAACAGTACGACATTAAACCCCTTTTCACTTCACTAGTTATTTGTTAACCAACAAGAACCTGGTATAATAGAATCTACTATATGTAATCTGCTTGAAGCGATTGAATCCCTCATAGTCTGCCGCTTCATTTCTTAAGAGCGTTAAAAGAGAGAATGAAACCAGACAGTTTTAATGATGTACTTGTATATAACTTCTATGCTTCTAAGTGCAAGTCAATCGCGTGGCTTTTATTTGATTAACTATGTCACTTGCTCCAAGAAAATAAATGACAATGTTGGGGGGTTTCTGTGTGGAGTATTTCACCACAATATTCCCAGTCGATGGTTAAAGGAGCTAAATCTGTATTCTGTGGCACCTAGAAATTAAAGTTACAATTTCATATTTTCTAAGAAAGTCAAATCATCATTATTTCTATGTCTTTTGCTCAATAGGTTGTCAACTCACTATTATACGATCATAGGTTATCTTTTTCACACTTAGAAAATAACAACATCAATGTTTTCTGTGATTGGAATTATTAAAGTAATTGAACATTTTAACAAAAGGTACAATTTTATGGATACATAATTACTTAGTTTAATACTAAGCGACGTTTAAATTGACCAATAAGTCGTGTTCACAATGTCGAAGACTGTGGATGATATTGAGTTAGAGATTTGCCCCCTTTAAGTATTGGGGATCACGGCGGTCTTGGAAATGTCTCTTTGGTATGACCAAACGACTTTCTGTTGTAAAGAGGTGTTACCGCGTGATTAATTAGCTCATCTATTATATACACATTAAAACAATAATATTGAAACGCATGGCAGAAGATCAGGTGCTTGAGTAGCTGCAATTTTTAGCCGTGATAATTCTTATCTACGGCTGCAATTGATACACTATTCGAGGCTTTGAGCAAGTAAAATTAGGTTCAATTGCAAAATGTTCAACACATATAATCACAGTTTGCATGGAAATAAGTAATTATGTTACAAATAGTGAAGAGTGGAACACTGAAATCATAATCTTATCTTAACGAACAGTTTTTCTGTATTTTCGAGTGACATGACACCCCGTGATTCTGGTTCAGCAGACATTTTAAACTGAACAGAAATTTCGCATAATAGTTGGGTTTAATCAAATCATAATAATTATACGGTAAGATTTCACCTTTATTTCAATGGGAATTGGTTTATTATATGTGAAGCCATGTACAGTACAGTTTGGGGTCGGTGTTATTAGCAATTAAGGGAGTTATAGGCCAGTAACTTTTTTGTTGTCAATTGGCTACAAAACTTGCTCAAGGGGAGGTCTTAGGACGGTCCACTACTGTGGCTGGAGCAAGACGGAAGACATCAGTAGGTAGTGGAACCATTTCTAGTGCTTGAGGGGCAGGACTAGACACTCGCCATGCCAGACCCTCCGTTCTGACATGAAAAAACCGCGCCAGAAAATCCCGAGGAACGTTCTCGACTGACCCCGGGACCGAACCCGAGACGTTAGCTATCCAGCGTCTTACTCTCGGTAATATTTGCTTGACTGCTATTATCACTGAGAGGGATGACATCGGGGCGAGTTAATTAGCTCTCAATATTAACTTTTTTCTTCTGCATATTAAATTCTAAAACAATTATTAAGAAAATAAATAAAGATGTTGGAGTATATCTGGATACAAAATATTTCCTATTTATGTAAATGGCCGGGTACATAAAATGTGTAAAGGGGTACCAATTCTTCCAGGACCGGTTTGGTTTGTGTTGTTACTACGACCTATGTAAACAAGTCGCGTATTATCGACGCCATGTGATGTGGCGTCACACGTAAACACGTTGACCTGTTAGTCCAGTCAAAGTATGAATTGATCT